AATAATAAAAATAACTATAATAAATGAAACAACATGTTATTCGTTTATAATCATTCGCTTGTTTTTTTAGACTGTCAGTAAAATATACCAGGTTAGAATTATTATTATAATTTGATTCAGTCGTAAATAACCTACGTCCTACACACAAAAATCTATCTCAGTTATGAGGAAATACGTTAATTATTATTTGTTATTACAATTTTGGCGGATCCGTGTCGATCAAGGCTAAACAATCTTTAACAATATTTATACAGCTACTTGGTTACACAATTATCAGCTATCGGGTAAATAAATCGGAGTAGGATCATTTATAGATAGTTCGTTTTTATCATTTTACATACCCTGCTCCTATATTACATTATTGTTGGCAATTTCAATGTCACGGTTATTAAATAACGTTATGTAATCGATGTATCTTTATATATCTATTGATATTTCTATTTTATGAACGAATCAGAAATATTAACGTAACGAGTGCGACCAACTGGTTTTTTTTAAAACTCAGTTGCGTAAGTCTTTTTTTATAAATTATCTGTCGAGCCGAGTTTAAGGTCTAGGTCGACCCGTTGTTTTATATTAGACATATTAAAGCGACCGCGTGACTTGCGCTTATATTATGTGGTTTAAGTCCAACAAGTGGTCGTGGTAACCGAACTTCCCATACGAGTGCATCATACTACTACTAATCATCATCATCAAACGTGGTGTCGCGTGTACAAAAAGCCATCATAACCGATTCAAGATCAACAACGGAAACTTATGAAATACCACAACGGCATCACGTAATAAGGCGGACCGCCATCCATAATATCGTTGTTTTTCTCACAACGCTATATAGACATTGATTTATGAATTAAACAATAAATCTAACTTGGATAGATTCCGACAAACCGAACACACGGATAAATACAACGAACTATCACATATTATTTTAATATAATATAAGTACGAGTAGTGCAATGTACAACTATATTATAATATGTAAATGTCATCAGAGTAAATCGTGTTGACTTCGGGCATAGATTAAAATATACACATACATATGTCACTGTCATAATGTGCAATACGACAACCGTTATGATAACGAAATTTTCGGCACAAATACATGGTTAATATGGCCTATGTCAAAAATTGCCAAAAAAGTATATGATGTGGTTCATCTATGTATGTGTTAATCTCTATAATCGGGTAGGAAATTCTTATATACACGTCTGAGTCACGGTCGGGTAATTCCAATATATGAATCGCAAAGAAACCCGGAAGTCGTCGGATCTGCTACCCGTTAGACACTAATCACTAAAGTATAGTATTTTCAGCGGTCGCTTAGCATAATATGTACAACATGATAGTAGCTAATGATTTCCATAACTGAGAATTTAGTGATTACTATGAAGTGTACTGTAGGTAAACTTTATATATTATGTTTTTTTGTAGGATAAGCTGCGTTGACTTGAACAAATATTTGCGCTTAAGATTTAAAAGCCATACCATTGATTCTAAAATATACAGATAAGCTATGTTCTACACAAGAACGGGGAACGATTTTATGTAGGATTCCCGCCGTCAATAGAGGAGCTTTTGTCATCATTTATTGACGAGCGAATAGAAGAATCCCTTTTTCGACTGTAGGGATCCCGCATAAAATCGGTTACCGTTTTCGTACACCGCTCATCTGTATATAATAAAATCAAAGGACATTAAAATTATTTCAGTAGTTATTCAGCGAAACACATGATGCTTTAATAGAACCAGGAAATTATAATGATAAATGGAACTTCCCGTTTTTACTATACTTTTACTGCAGTTATAGACCAAGAGATAGAACTATTTAAGGTTTTATTGAATAATGCGCACTAATAAAACCTTATAATATTTCTGTAATATATCTTTAAATACGAGTATAAGGAAAATAAAACAAAACCTAAGCTTAGATAGTTGCACCGAAGTTTTAAAATACTAATAAGGCAAATTAACAAAAGTTCGACACCTAAATTAAAAATTTAAATAGTTGTTGAGAGTTTTAAAAACACCCTAACTCTGGATTGAGTATTTGTATTTGGTTAACTAATATCTATAAGATTCCAAGCGGATTTATTAGGGCACACGAAAAATATTAGATAATATTACTAATATGAACTATTTTATTACATAAAATTAAAATTAAATACGGAACTTTAAAATATTACTATAATCACTATTTTATCTTTATGATTTCATTCTATCAAAGCTAAAAAGTAATGAAACTGGACACAAATATTTTTTTTTACAGATATTATTTAAATTATCTCTATGTTATGAAAATCTTCATAATCAATTGAAAATACTCTCTTATCCCTTAAATATACTCTTACATGGACAACATGTTTTTTTCAACGAATTTAATCGATATTTCGTCCTAAATTGTTGACCCCGTCAAGTTCTATGTAGACAGTAAATACAAGTGAAAACCTCTAAATCCGCTCTCCAGTTATTATAATCATATATAATTGATACGATGCGATGTCCCGAATAACGACGGCCTCCGTTAGGCGACCGTCGGCCGAAGGTTCGATACGACTTTTCAAATTCGAAACACCCGAGAGTTTGAAACGGATGAAAACACAAACACATAGTAAATATTATTATTGTCGTAAATATTTTTGTTGGGACACGGTTGGAAATGTCGGACGAAACCGGACCCGAGGGACCTTGAAAAGTCTAACACCACGAAAATAAAAAAATAATTACCAATTGCACATTTATAATTTGTTTTTAAATCCGTCCATACGGATTTGCTAACTGCTAGGCTTAAGACGGGGACTTTGTAAGTATATGCGACTTTCACGGCTTTGGTGTCGGCCACACAACCCCAGAGTTGTAGCCGTGTGGCGCCGGCAATACAAGCGCACCCATTTATAATAATATCATATTAACATTAGCGTTCGCTTTTTAGTCTGTCAGCCGCAACGATATTCTTGCGCAACCGTCTACGATTACACGAGCTTTTGGTCGCGTTTATATTTAAGCAGTTGTGTATTAGCTGGTATGTTATTATTATTATTATTATTGTAGGCTCAACAAGCGTGACCGAGCGAGGGGTCGGTGCGCTGTACATTATAGGTTTGTTAATGGGCTTTTATTTTACGTGTGATCGCAATTATGCAACCGGCGGTGGCCATCGCCGGACGCCGCGCGTCCTTGGAGGTCATTTTATTATTATTAGGATTACTGTAAATCGTTAAAAAGATGTTTCTACTTTCACTTCACAATGACCGCAGTCAAAAACGGCCCCGAACACGAACGTTACTGGTAAAACTTTTGATTCGCCTTTGCAACGATTATTTTCCAGTCTATAAATCCGTTGAAAACAAAGTGTCCGGATATTGGATTTTCAGATAATTTGCTAAGACGGCGTTTTGTGTATGCAATTTTAGGGTGTCGGATAAAAAAATTAAATCGGGATTTAAACACTATCGAAAAGTGGCTTTGGCAGAAAATTCGGGTTTACATTTTAACATGCAGTATTTAAATATGTATTTTTTTGTAGATACATTGTTAGCATCAATTACTATAAAATAGTTATGGTTATTTTAAAATAATTATAATTGTAATAATACATACGAGTAAGGCGCTTACGCGTTTAAAACCTGTTCAACACGGACGGGCCGTCTTAAATAATTCAGACCCGATGGGAATATAACATTGCGTCTATTAATGAACCACTAACAGAAACATTATGAAATCAAAATAGAAATATAGTAATTAAAATAGTTAAAATTTGACAGACGCACTTTGGTTAATGGCAATACATTTACAACGATTATTGTTGTACAATACAATTACTTATGGTGTGCTAGTATACTGTATAATGGTCCAATAATACAATACCGGTCCTAAACAACAGCGATATGATAGTAACATTTTAATATTTAAAAAATCAAGTTCTACGTTTTACAAAAATATCTTTCGTATATGTTTTTGTAATAGTTTTAAATTAACCTATTTATAAGATTTTACTGCAAATTTCAAACTTGAATATATTTTAAAATAAACACAAGCCCTAAATACTGTTAGAACTCCGCGTGTACAGGTAACGTCGATAATAGATAATACAAATTTCTATTATTTTATCCAACATTAATTTTGTATGCGGCTAACTTGTAGACTTATACCAACCATTACGATAAAAACAATTAAAAACGCCGGTCTTGTACGTGGCCGTGCGGTAGACGTTCTAAAAACGGCAATTTAAAATTCTACACAGAACCGTTGGCCCCAACTATTATAAGGTTTCACTTATTACTCAACAATAGGTTTATTAAAAAAAATCTCCCGGTTATAATTTTACAGCTGATTTTTTTAAAAAATAATGTTTTTTAATTAACAAAATATAATTGGTAATAAAAGAGTTGTATGCGAAGTAAAATAAATGTAATAAATAAAAAACATTTATAAAATAAAAATCAACTTACCCTAACAAGTGGCTGAATTGTCGGTGCCTTCTGCGAACTCGAACTGAAGCGTCGGAGCGCAGCAAACACTAATAAACATGCTGGGTGCTTCCATGCTTTCGTCAAGGTTGCATTGCCCTACCTCTCTCATCCCTATACTAAGATCACGCCGTAGCGAGTAAAGATATCTCGTTAAACAATAATTAACCTTGGATTGGTTGTAATATTTAGATCGATGTGATAGTGATGATTATATTAGTTACATTTTTTTTTGTGAAAACATGGAAACGCATCTTTCGTTAACGTCGTCGGTAATAATAATTATAATTAACTGGCAAATTAATGCAAAACTGGTGGGAATCGGAAGCGATAATTGAAAACTGAAAATAATACTTGCAAAAATACAAAGTAAACAAAATATGTATAAAACTTTAATAATAATAATAATAATCATAATAATAATAGTACAATATTTAAACAATTACGATAGTTTTTAGTCTAAGATAAATAACGCTTTGACGGTTTAAAACAACGTACAAAAAAAAAAATTACATAAAATCATAAAAAAAAGTATGATATTGTAATATTATACAAATTTCTACATTTAACAAAATAACAAATAAAATAAAAATCGTATAACTTTATCAACATTTTAAAGCATTTAAAAAAACGAAACATATGTTTACTCATCAATATTATAATAGTATGTTGAATTTAACTCAATAAACAGATGTTCAAAAAATATTTACATACCATCTTTTGTTTTATTTTGAATTTACCTCGTTTTTGGTAGCAATAAAAACAAGAAGTCGTGGATGTTTCAACAACTATAAGATAATAGTGATTTGGTTCAAAACCAATTTTCTTTGATTATTTTTATTTCAAGTGTTGTTCCTCAAAATATTGTTACTGGCGGATGCTCAAAAATAAATGGGTCCACATGAGAAGCCGAAACTGGTGAGTCAGCCCATTTTCTTAGGTCTGTCGAAGGGATTATTCCACTTCGACAAGGCACCCGAGGATTTCTATACAAAAAAAAAAGAAAAATGCTAGGTTAGTTTTGTAGAAAATGATCATTGCAGTTAACAACATTTTTACGGGTTTGTGTAAGATACAATGTTAATTTGGTTATTTGAAATTTTCACTTATATAAATCATTCTGATAAATTCATATGCAATCAGTTGTAAAATATAATTAAAACTATAAACTATGCTGACATTTAATAATATTTTTCAATTATATTAACTTCGATGCAGATCTGAGGAAGTATTGGATTAATAATAATAATTTTTACTTCCTCAAAGATCTAATTTTCCATTTTCCACCAAAGTTTATAATCCAATTTCCACCAAAATAAATTAAAATTTGTTACCTAATATTTTTTAAGAACCCCTTATTTTTTTTTGCTCTAAATTTTATTTATGCACTTGTTGAAAACTATCTCTAATTAAATATCCCAGATCAATATTTATTCTGTTAACCTTAAACATTCATTACAAATAATTAAACAATTATTTATTTTATTTTTTAATTAATTATATAGTTGCTATTTCACAGAAATTTAAAACATTTTTGCGTGCCTATACAATATACAATATGTATATCTTAAAATGGCATTACACGATGAAGGTGCTACGGCAAAAATAATGTTATTCGCAAACTTGTTTTTGATGGAGTATTATGTCTTATAATACTTGCATTAAAAAACCCAACATGGAGCGCTGACTTTACGAGGTGGAACACTTTGTCCATAGAGTACAGCTAGTATTAGAATTTTTAGATTTAGAGTCAGGGGCTCTTTACAAATGTAAGGTAATACATTTTAAATTGTTTTGGTAAAAAATTAGATTATAACCTTTGACGGAAAACGGAAACTTCCGAAAAAATGAGGTCTAACGTGGAATGGATCACCCTGTATATCTGTTGTGCAGACCTCAAATTTAACATGTTTATCATTATTTTAATTGTAAATACTAAAAATAAGTTAATGGTATCGAAATTATTATTCAATAAAGCCATGCTCAAACTCAAAATATTTTGAGAAAACACTTTTGGCCACTTTTGTATTTTAATGTTATTTCTGCGCACTGTGAATGGGAGCAATACTATGTACTCTACGTCTGTGCAAGTCCTATGTCTATCTCTAGCGCTTAAGCGGTTACGAGTTTTTCCTTAAAAGTTTACTATTATGTTTGTTCAGCTGTGTATACGAGCTGATTAAATTTTGGTGGCGGTCGAGTAATTAGGTGAATTTTTTTCCATAGTTTAGGTTCCAAGTCAAGAAAACACCCCGACTAATTGACATATTACCAACGTATGAAATTAAATATTTATAAACGTCACACTATAACTTTCCGATCAGTGGTCGGAGAGAATGAAAATCCATATTTAATTATGGTATTTTTTTTAAATTAAGCAAGATCCAAAAAAATATACACTCAAAAATGGGGTCTCGAATGCAATAGTATTTCCGTTTACTTTTCATAAATAATGAACATAAAACTTACATTTCGTGATCTGGCAGAACAATTGGCCAAAGCTGAATGGTATCGATTAAATCGGTGTTGTCGCATATTACTCGAGCCAATCTAGTTTTACGAATCTCGTGAAGTTGTTCTAAGGAAAATTAAAGAAATATATTCCAATAGCAATCAGAAAAATGGTTCTGTAGAAAACAAATGTGACGCATACCTGGTGTGAATGAGGACGGCTGGTTTGGCAATTCGTACCAAAAACGATCTCCCCTTCTGGCGTAGCTAAACTGCGTGGCCAATATACAAGAGAATACAGGACCAGCCATGCTTCCTGGCAATGGTTTTTCGGACACTCCTCCAGACCACAGGTCTACGTCATCCGGCGAACTGTAAAAAACACGATCAAAACGTTTAACATAAAATGTTATCGGTTAATGAAATTATGTGAATAACACTTGTTAACAAATTACTCACTCGTATAGGGTCGAATATCTATTGACCGTCGAATTTGGCATGGCTCCAGATAACCCGTCGAAAGAATCTGACGCGGGAAGACCACAAAACTTCCTGCAAAATATTGTATAAATATTAAGTAATAACACATTATCTCAAATAGAAATAAACGTAAATTGAAAATCGTTTTACATACATTTTACGAGGCTACATAGTTAATGAAAATGTTTTAAAAAATAATAGTATTAAAGACTTTAATGAACAGTTTACAACTTAGTTTATCCTTTGGGAAAACAGAAGTTTATGTAAAGTCGTTTTAATAAATGAACGATCTCTTTCTAGCGCCAACTAATTTATAGAGACTAAATATTTAGAAAAAGTTACTTATGTGATCTAATCGTGAATAATTTAAGTAAAATTGTTCATATTACAAAAAAATTAATGTATCAAAATGTCTACGATTTTTGAAATAATTACATTCCTGCGAGCATTTGTTGTCTGGGTTTTTTATCGCCTTTAAAAAGGTAAAACGGTGTTTTATGATATTTTAAGCGTGTTTTGTATATAGACGTTTTTAATTTAATTTTAAAAGAGTTTCTTAATCTATTTCCTTTGTTGAATTCAAAAATTGGTCTCAGAAATCAAAATTCATGTACTACATTAGTTTTTTAACGCAAAATAAAAAGAGATTGTAAAATATTGTTATAATCAGGCGATTAAAAAAAACAGACGTGCTAAAAATCTCAGGCCAGTTCAGATTATGTAAAAAAACCCTAAAAACTGAATGTAATTGTTTTGTTATTGTTTAAAAATTTACACGTTATTTTATAATGTAATTACAACAGTAATGACTCTAATTAAAACACCACGTCGCGCAATACTATGTACATCAATGTTGTAAGAAAAGTGAAAACTATACATGTTATAGATCTATGTAAGATCTAGACAACTGTTCAAAAATCTATGAAAATCTATTAAATTATATTATTCAAACAACATCCAATATCTATTATTAAGACTAAGGTGTTAGTTTTAACAGAGAAATGATCATAGTTGAAATAAACCAGATCTTTTAAATTTCAAGTATGATTTTTAGTTTTGTTTTCCTTTCTTTTTGCTTTTAATTTTGTCACAAAGTAACCTTTTCAATGTCAGTGTATGGTATGATTAGAGAAAGACCGAAATGCCCTATTATTCTAACCTGTATTCCATAAATCCTGGCAATCCGAAATCACGTCCTCTTTGTATATTAAATGATACCAGATCAAAACCAAACTGCTGACCTGGTTTCTTCAATAATTTATTTGTTACTTCTTGAGTGATAGAGTCGTCCATGGCCTGGGCAACTTGATTTGCCAATCCCATTATGTACTCATCAAAAACTCCAGCTCTATACAAGTCATACGGTCGACGAATCAAATCGGATAATTTTTTTGATGCTAAAAAAAACAATAGAGAAATTAATTCTTGGTCATGCAATGGAAAATAACTCTATATGATTCTTTAATTGAGAGTACTTAAGTGCATAATGCATACGAGTACGTTCTTTAGACTATATAAGACAAATAGTTTTGTAAAAATGTAATAGATTTTTTTTATTATTACCAATAAACTTGTGTGCCTTGCTCCATCTTTCAACGGAACTCGGTAAAAACGTGTGTCCAATTCTAAAGGCGGCTGATGAAAACTCAGAAAGTATATTAGGATTGACCTCAGGATCGTAACCATCCCAATAACCCTAAAAAAACGTCTATTCATTAAAAATATTCAATGTCTATAGTATTAAAATATATACTTTGATAGACAACGCTAATGTAATAACCAACAGCGCTTATTTCCCGCATTTTTATACTTCGCTATGTTTAAAGATAAAACTATTATCAAATCAGAAAAAAGAAACGTCAAATCTACAAGTGTTATCTATCTGTACTACACTTAATTTGTTAAAGGGTGGGTCTCGAAAACCGCCCATACACTCAAGCTTGTAAATTCACTGTGTGCCATAATACTACTCATTTTCTTATATACCCTATATTTTTCTTTGAATATTTTGTAATGTGTTTTTATAAAATTGATCTTCTAATTAGCTAAATCACATTTGTCTAATAGTTTTTAATGGCTAATAGAAATCCTTAACAAAAGATAAACGGTTTAACCACAGCTTTAGTGTTAAAGAAGAATAATCAAAATACCTCTTATATTTAAACAATGTTAGGTTTTATTTTTATTTATAATTATAATTTATCAATAATATAATAATATATAATAACTTATGTTAGCTGTAAACAGAGCTCAAGATAAAAACATTACTCTATCATTTGAAAAATAACATTTTTAAAAACCTATCTTGAATCCACAATTTTTTGATAGATTACTTATATTTCTTATGTGTATATCAGTTGCCTAAACGATAAATTTATTACATGTTTTATCTTGTAATAATTATTCTTTTTGTAAACAAGTCTTAAATTGCAACGAAAACCACCAATTTCATGTCCATTATACTTTAAATATTCAAGTTTTAACTATATAAATTCAACAGTTATTATTACTTCTTTTTGGAGAAGAAGTCCAAACTTTTCCATGACTCCCTTTCCGAGTAAGGTTGGCAAGAATTCATTATATGTTACATGTTGAATTTTTGCAATAACAATACGTCTGCTCTCTTGGAAAACAGTTTCGTCGTCCCAATGTGGATTAATCTGACCCAACTCCTGGGCTATTCTATTATGTTCTCTAGCCCACAATGTGTGCATGGATGCCAATACGAGTTGTTCATTAACGCGTACTTCGCCTAAAAAAATCGTGTTTAATAATTAGTATAACAATTGTATGAATAACAACTGAAGCAAAAAGAATCAGTAGTTATAATTTATTTGTGTAAAATATTATTGGAAAGCCAAATGAAAATTATATTTTCGATATTGTTTATAAGGTGATGTGTAATATTTTTTTTTTTCAATAACTATTTCTAAAATAAAAATAAAAATTTAAACCAGTAGATAGTAGTTAAACCAAATTTTTCATTGTAAATAATGTAAGATAAAGAAAACCTGTTAAAAAAAAAATGATCACTTGTACCTTGCTGATTTTCCTTACTTCAACAGTCAAAAATCAAAATATCTCCATAGTTACCTGCGTCGAAACAGAACTGTGATCGATTAACTCTGGTGCACCCTTCATCGGGATCTATAGTTCTCATTGGTAGCAAATCTTTTAAACCAAACTCAGAAAATGCTGGATTCATTCTTAACAAACCACGGTAACCGGTTCTCAAATGTCTAAACAAAACAAACATTTTCAACTTATTACTCAGAACTATTGTATTCTTAAGATTAAATCGACTTTTTTAAAGAATACATGTAGGCGTTGGTTACTATACTAACTATTTATTGTATACCACTTTGCCTAGACCATTCGTCTTGAAACTAGGAATATAATAAAATAATTTTTTAATACCTAGCATAATCTTCGGTGACACCGTATACGGTGTTAGCGTCGAGTACGCCTGTTAAAGTGTTGAAAGGTACTCTTGAACCTAAAATTACAACAAAAAATGAATATGTTACATGTTATACATCTTATATCAAATGTGGTAAACAATTTTTTTTTTTTTTTTTTTAATTTATTGCTTTTGTGATTACACATTATAGCAAAACAAAATTATAACAATAATACTTTTATGCTCTCAATACAAATTACTGAACAGTAAATAAATGCATAGGGCTAATACCAAAAACTATGCAATTACAATAATTTTGTAAATTTACGGATTTTTTTATGCTTTCACAACAGTACTTTTTTTTAAACCAATTCTCATCAAAACTTAACCATTCATAAACATGATATGGTCATGAAAATGTCTAATTTCTTAAACCTATATTTTGGTTGAAATCTAATGCTGTATATGACCATAATTAAAAAATACAAATATTCAAAATCAATAATAAGTAAAAAACGGGATAAAATGAAGTAAAATATAATCACAAAATAAATAAACCTAAGTTAAATGAATTCGTATAAAACATTCAACATATATTACTTTTTAGGAATTTTTAAAAATGTCTATTAAATGCAAATTTAACCCTATAAATTTGCATTTCTTAACATTGAACATAACACATACATACAGTGTTATGATTGTTTGGTTGTCTCACAAACTATTTAAGGGGTAATACTTCCTGGTACGATAAATAAACAAATCAATTACCTTACACGTATGTATATATAAATATAAATATGTATATCCGTATCTGATTATTTGCAGTATAAAATATTTAACCTTTAAGCATTATTTAGGAATAGCACTTTCATCTTAAAGTTATAATTTCTAATTATTTATTCATTTAATAATTTATTAGTAATTCATAACTCGATTTCTTTTCATTCAATTACAATTTTTCTAATGACAAGAAAATCTTTAAATATTTTTTTAGTCTCGAGGTATGTTTTTAGCTAGGTTCAACATAAAAACGATTTTCTTACCTAGACGACATCCTGGTCTGACGGAAGGGAAAGCTCTTACGAAATCCAAACATTTGACTTTAAATTTTTTGAAAAAGTAATCGTCATCCGGTATGACTATTTCGTTACAGTAAGGATTTTTCAAGTGTGGAGGTCGGTTGCAACATTCTTCGGGTTCATTCTTGGTTATCGGGTCTGTGTATTAGAGGTTAAGATTCACGGTTTTGTTATAAATAAAAAAATCAACAATATGCTTTAATTGACCTTTTAAAATGAATCTAAACCGGTATCTTACCTGAGGGCGTCCCCATCAGCGTGAAATCATGGTCCAAAAACTGACCGAAAGCCACCAACATGAGCGTGGCCGCGTGTTCATGGTAACCTTCGTCGGGGTGCATTGTACGGGATACCACTCTGGCAGGCGGCAGTCGCTTACTGCTAAGCATGCTGACTTTTGGCGCGCTCATGCCGTCGGAAAAGAGCGGACCGACCAGCCTGGAGAACGGCGTGTTAGTGGCGCCCCACGTAGGGTGTTTCACGTTATTGCATAGCCCGTCATATCTTCTATACTTGCCGGGTCTGCACTCGACGTTGGACAAGAAAGCGGGACATATCTCTTTGATCAGGGTGCGCGAGGTGTCGATTTGGGGCAAGCCTTTTTCCACTTCTTCATACGAAAGTCCGTAGCTAAGCGTAAGAAGAAAAGTTGCATTAATTTTACACCGTAAATGTGTTTCGCGCTAAATAATAATCTTGTGTACTTTTTTGTTAGTTGAATGGAAATGTCTAAAAGCAGTTCGCCAACGGAAGCTATTTCTTCGGCAGTGTATTTTTCTTTGTTGTCCGACACGACGTCTACGAGGCAAAAAAAAAGAGGTTGTAATTATTCAACCACGAGCATAAAAACGAGGAGAAGAACGAGTTCCAGCAGTAGACGATCCTGCACTCGCGCTAAAACGTGACGTCCTTATTTCAATAGCACTGACGATGAAAAATAAAAAATTGTTAACCTAACCGCGGTTGCCATTCCCAGACTATTGTTATCGCAGACTTATATCGTTGCATTTTTTTATTTTAAAAACTTCTGATAATACATTATAATCTTAAGAATCTTTCTAGAGGCAATTAAATTTCGTAACGGTTTCTTCATGAAAAAAAAATAAATACTCCGACGGCAGCAGACCGATAGAACCGGTCGCGAAAACTGTGTAGAGGTCACCTTTCACCATCAACAGCACCGACATCATCGCAGCTTTAACATATTATATTATTATCACATGCGTATCCTCGTTCGCTTACATTGAATCTCAATATTATAATATATTATATAAATATTTGTACACACGCATCACTATAATAGGAAAATCACTTTATCGATGAAAGCGATTAGAAAAACGCACTTAGGCCATTATTTAGATTAAACGCAGTATACGTGTGATTATTGCCAGACATGTATATTAATATTATGCAACGCTCAAGTGATTAAACTTCCTCTTATAAACATCTGACTGCATATCATTATTTTTGTACCTCAGAACTAAACGAACTATATCCGAAAATAGCGATTTTTAGATAATTATAATTTAGCATGTAGAATCTGGGTTTGCATCTAGCCATAATTTCGGAATTCCCTTAAAAAATTTCCTTTTAGAACTTACAAGGGTTACACGGGTGAACTTAAGTTCTCATAACAGCGTATGCTTGAAAATTAACGTTTTTATGCTGTAATGAAAAGTTGGCATAATGTGATTTACATTCGTCTACTTCTGAGGTACAGATTTAATGATTATTTTTCTCTTGGTATACTCACTAATACGTTTCCTGGCATCTATGTAAGCTTGATTGATCGCTTCATAAGTGATGCATTGACCAGGTTGACCGAATCCGCTAAAATAAATAAATCTATATGAATTGTAACTTAAATATCTGGGATTAGTAGAGTGTTTTGAACTATTAATATCTAAGATGAATGTTTTATGTAAATTTTTTTTTTTTTACTTTATTTAAATTTACATTTATATATCAATACTGATAAACCTCTTTATCGTCCTATTTACAAACGCTGATCTAGAAAAATATTAAATAATATAACCTACATATTACGTTCCGATGGTATATAAACTTTTTAATTGTATTATCGAACAATCCAACAACAATAAAATACCCAGCTGAGTAATTAACAATAGAAAATAATCTACCAGTTACCTCGTGTTGTTCGTTGAGTTTATTTAACGTAATAATAAACAACAATGTAACACGCAAACTACCTACTCATTTGTTTACTGTTAAAATAAGTGCATTTATATTATATTGTTTAAATATTAATCAACTTGATATATATTTATTTATATATATATCCGAAACCTACTCAATTGCATTTTATTTTGTCTATATAAAAATATTACCATTAAATATGTAAATTTGTATATTCTCAATTATTACTATTTGTGAGTAAACCATTATTGTATAGAAAAATATGTAGGTAATAACTATACATCTTACTATTAAAAAAAAAATTGAAAAATATATAATTTTAATGATGATATACTCACTGCGGTCCTCCTCTCAGTGTATTACTGTTAAAGTCAAAAAAGCTAGTTCTTCCTGGTCCAGTTAAATGTAATGCACAATCACCGTCAAAAGATTGACTAAGCCCGAAAAAACAAATCGTCAGTATAATACTGACGTTTAAAAGTATTCTAGAAAAATAAAATAAAACACATTCCAATTTAAAAACTGTAGATAATCGAATGCACAAATTTGCATAGCATAGTTTATTATAAAAAAGTATATTTAATCTTTGTTCATGGGAATGAACTTATTATGTATCACTTTAAATACATTTATAATTGTACAATTACAATAATATTTATATTACTATAATGTATAAATAAAGTTTAAACAAATAATTGTGTACGAGTTTCGTAAATACTTTATTTTTATTTTGGTTTTCAACTTTTTTTGTATTTTAAACGTTATCAAAAAAATGTATAATTAAAAGATTTTAATAATTCATAGGCACGTTAAAACTACTAGTACATTGCCTATTACCTAGTTTAATGTACTGGAATTTAGTACAATGTACATTCACATATTTATGAGTTTAAAAATCAGCTAAATCTTCTTGTTCAAAACTGTATATGTCACAATATCATATTACATAAGTGTTTGCACATAAATATCCATTAATTATTAATACAGCTTTATTTTTTTGAAAAAAAGAAATATAAATCGCTAAAAACAAACGCTTAATACAAATATTGACATCTTTTTGTAAAACGTTAAAATAAAATAATAATAATTGGGAAGCATATTGTCAAGATCTAAAATGGAATCAATGTCAAGGTGAGTAACAAATATAATTTAATTTCAAGTATGCTTTCACATTTTATTGTGAATTTCCAGACAAGCCGCATTAAAAAAGGGTGGTTCAAACGTCTAACTATTACCTTTCACGCGACACTTCGAAATTAGAAACCCGCATATTGAAATAACTCAAAATTTACAACTTTGATGAATCCACTTAAAAAAAACGTAAAACAAAAAAAAAGACAGCTGCATACATTTGTGATATTGTTTTTAATTGACCGTACGTTTTGATAGTTAAATTAAAAAATTACATGATTTTTATGAAAATTTAAAATATTTTAATAAAAAAATATAACTAAAATATTTTTTAAGTTTTCTTTTTAATTTAAAATGCCATTAACAGATTTTACAGTTCATTTTTTTTGTCTAGCAGCTAGCTAAACTTAATTGTAAAAAATTTTAGTTCGATAATAAAAAAAAATTATTAATTTTAGACGTTCGATATGTTCAACATGTTCAATAATAAAACTAACTGTTAAAGGTATGAATGTGAAAGTGATTTTATTAAAATCTTTTCGATACGATACTGTGATAACTGATAAATGTTTATTTATATAATTTTGCTACTTATTCATATATTATGAGTTACGACTTATTTTTATTTTATTATTAACTAAAAATTACATTTTACATAGAGATAAGACATTAATAAAAACGCTTAATACCATAAATAAATATATAGACAATAAAGCTGCATTCATAATGCTATCAAAATCTACACTCACATATGGTTTTACGCTCCTTGAATATTTAAATACAAAACGTTGTGCGATGTTTATAAACTCACCCACACTTTCACTAACGTAAGAACAATTAATAACATATTTACCATCGCACGGAGGCCAGTGTTTATGCCCTATTGAATACCTACATGACCATACCTAACAAGTCTAATTTAAATAATTACTTTTTTAAAAATACAATTGAAACCTTATGTGTGAATCTTTTTTAAAAACTATACTAAACTTTACAATAAAAATCATATTATTAATTATTATTAAGATTACAGTATACATATCTATAAAGGCAATGACGGACTGTCGATCCGTCCCGGATAGCGAACCTACCAGGAAACCTACTCCCTAGGTGGGTAGCCCTACATGGACTGCTTTAGCTGTTTTTGTTTTTTATATGTAGAATATAAACGTTAAAGATGTTTGAATAGCAACACCAAAAATAATAGGAAAGACTTTCTGTTACAAACTCCTATTACTATTTTTTCATATAATCGTGACAACCATTTTCTAATTTCACAAAAATTCTTAATTTCGAATTCCGATAATTAAAAAAATAACTGAAATATAATGAAAGTACCTAGAAGAAAACACGTTACTAATTTCCAAACCAAACTGATAATAGTTATTTAGTAAAAAAACATTATCAAGAAATTAGGTGACCTCAAGAATTTAGGTTTATATAATTTTAATATAAAACATATGGTTTTACGCAGCTAGCGTAATAACATTGTAAGCATAGCCATATAATTATTGTCCATCTGCGGAGAAAGTAGCAGAAATTATGTTCATTATTATTATTATTATTATCCAGTTATGGCGAAATACATTATTCTTTTATATTGCCCGTTTTCTGTATGGTAAATTTTGACTTGGGTAAAATAAAAAAATACAAGTTCCACAGGGAAAAAAGTTAAAATCATCATTTATTGATCTCGTATAACAATAAATATTTTGTAGGTTCATTGATAAGTTGAATTTAGCTAAGTGATTTACAAAAAACTATTTTGAATACTTAATATACAAATAATGTAGATGTTTACTCAATAATACAAATTTAACTAAACTAAAAACTCAATAATAATACAATTTTGCTTATATTTTTAAATTTGTATATATTATTTTATATAACCATGATAAAAAAAATGTGAGTTATTTACAACTTAATATTTTATTTTATTCTTGTAATTTGTATTGTGTCAATAGAATATCTGATTCATAGGTCAATCAAACAAAATATTCTTTAAAATGTTCTGTTTTATTTATCTTTATTAAGATAATATTATTTTTAGGTTAAAATTAAAGATGTTGTATAAGGCGATTTACTGTAAAACAAAAAATATTAGTTGTTTCAGGATTTCTTTAGGCCAAAAATGAAATCCGTACACACTTTAATATCGATTTATTGTGGAGAAAGTAGTTTGAAACCAGAACTCTAAGGTAGATATCAAGAAGTATAAATAATACTAAACGAGCTTTAGAATGATTTATATTATTCAATTTTTGTATACGAATCTTGAAATAAAAGAAATGTTTGTATTTTTTCATATGGTCTATGCATATTTAAAAACTGTTTAAAAAATTATATTTTATATACAAGCTTTGTAAATCTTACAAAGTTTAATTATTTGAAATAAATGTGTGTGCATGGTTTTTTATTGCTTCTATATTCAACTATCGTTGAACCTATTATTGATATAAAAAAAATAATAATCAATAATATCACATAGTAACAAGCCAATTTAAATTTTGTTTACTTCAAATTATTTATGTTGGTAAATTATAAAAAAAACTGTCTACGTCCGCGGAAGCATCATGCAAATGAACTCTTAGTAAGAAGACTCAAGATTTTTTCTATAACTTATGACATCCATACTTTTAATGGCATCTACAAATTATGATATAAGAATAAATAATTAAATACGAAAATTACCTACATAACACTATACTTAATAAAATCGATATTTTTAGAAATACAGTTTAAAAAAATAATAAAACAATTTACATTAAAGTTCATTTATAGTTGTAGTTTAATATTATAAAATAGTTGAGAACTCTAGACGCTAGGTATATAGGTCCACTTTTTGAAGAAATTGAGTTATGTATAGCAATAGAAGTGGAACTTTCAAAATCTAGACACCCCAAAAACGATGGATACTATTATTTTGAGTTTAAAAAAATGTAATATTAATAAACAAATATCAAAATATAAATTTAATACAAATCAATTATTTAGTTTAACCCTTAGAAGCACAGCATTTTTTTTCTCTGATTCTCTCTGAAAATGATTATGAAGGTGGTAATAAATATATACCACCGTACAAGAGAAGGCAATTTTTGAAAAAGTGGTATATTATTTATCGATGGAATTGGAAAAATTTTAATTATTCTAATTTTTTAAACTTTATTGATTTTTTTATTCAGTTTTGGCTTTTTAAAAACTTTTTCATCTAAGATTTTTAATCTACATTCTACAAGCATATTGTCAAATTTCATTAAAATAAATTTAATAAGATTTTAACTTTTTATTGGAAGCCTAGAGATTTATAATTTTACTGTTATAGAACATAGAAGTTTATTACACGTAATGATGTGGCATAATACATTTATTAACATCTTTCCTGAACATTTTCAAATATTAATTTTTATCCCTTGGTTTCTAGGATCTTGATTGATGTTGATTTTCATTAATAATAATCAGAATTAATAAATCAACCAAGATTTTTTTGGGGTTTATGAACAATATAGTAAAACTAAATTTAAATATCAAGTATAGCTGTTTCAAAAATAAAAATTAATTTTTGAGGGGAGGGGGGAGAAAGTTGTAATCCTCAACCACCCAATTTCTCTAACTAGATTATCCATTGAGCCAGAAAATCATAGCAACTTCTTTATTATATTAAAATTACCTAAAATGTATGCTAAACTAATTATTGCATATTCAAATCTCTAAACTGTATTTTAACTTAAATATCAGATTAACTAAAGGTTTAATATAGATTTAAAAAAAACCGGTTTATTAATTTTACTGACTAGTCTATTTTCTTAATTTGTTAATAGTAGAAAGCAGAGTAGGCAATAGGCTAATGGCGTTCATTAAATTAAGTACATACAATATACAGATATTTATTAGAGCATTTATCTAAAATTTCTTTATTTGGTTGAAAACAAGTTTGTACTAACTTGAAAGTAATTGACATTATTTATTCGATGACACAAATTAATTATAACTATCAATTGTTAAATAGATAAAAAAAATATTCAATAAAAAATATCCTTATAACAATTATTTAGCTGTATTTTAAAGTGCACAGATAAATTATAAAGTATTTTTAAGAGCTCATATTATAAATAATACTTTTTATAAATTAAAGAATGAACAAACTTTTGTATACAAATTTCAAATATATTACCGTATTAATTATTTAGCTATCATTTAACTATTATAGAAGATAATTAAATAAATTGTCTACACATTTTGTATTTACACATTGAAGTACCACACATTAGTTTTATTAAAATACTACAAAACAAGTTGAGTACAGAACGTCCTGAGATGAGTTTCTAAAAATGATAAATGTTGTTAGACGTAATATAGTTTAAATGGGTACCTATTGTCACATATAGACCAATTTCTTTATGAGCGTCGTCTGTTAATAATTAGGCGAATGAGAGTATGGCAATTTCTAACTTTCTTTATTAAATATCTCCTACCTTTCATTAATAAAAGCATGCAGCGTAATAATATCAGTGAAAATAATTATACTACAGTACCTACTAAAATTAAAACCTACACCAGCAATACAATGAATAAATTATGTTGACTTACCTATCCATTATACTAAATACTGCACATGTATTCACAGCTCTGTAGCAGATGCATGTATGCCTGAGCACGCAACAAGAGAGTAACGATGACCCCTTTTTCCCTCAAAAAACTTCTCCTACCCTTTCTACACATGGATAAATAAACCATACGCCTTTCACTCGCCAAGGACAACTCGGAAAATATATATGACGTCATATTAATAATGTGCATAATCCAAGCGGAAAAAATAGTTTAGATATAAAATCCGAGAATATTATAAAACAGCATCTCATAATTGTAAACAAAATTCAAATACCTTACCTCATTTCAATTTGTTTAAACGGTTTTCTTTTAAATAAATAAAGATTTAGTGAAAACAAATTTATGCTACTTCAAAGCACACAGTTTTTATATGTATGGTTTTTAACATTATTATGAATATTTCATGCGTGTTGTGTATAAATAATATAGAACGATAAACGCAATCTCTGAGGAGTTTTGATGAATTATTCATGTATAATATTTTTATTTGCACAACACCATGCAACGGTTTTTCGTTAAAACTATCGAAACATTTTTACACTTGAAACATGGCTAACGTACCTTATTATATATTTATATGATGACACATGTACAGTAAGAAGGTAATAAAGGAGGTGCCTATTAAATATTTATTTTCACCAAAGTTTCAACCTTTAAGGAATTATAATTGATAATGTAAAATCATTTTTTTTTTTTTTATTGAAAATTTACAATTTGTATTAGTTAACACAATAGGTAAATGAGATGATATGTACAACAAAACAATAATATAATATAATATAAATAACAGAATGGCATGATAAGGGAGGCCATCCAATGATAGGACCCTTCAGACTAAATTAATTTAATTTGTTGATTTTTATAATTTATAAAAGATCTCGACACCAGCGCCTTTTAAGGCGACGAGGGGGGTTGTCAGGTAGTGTAAGTGTTGATAGGTGGGATATGAGAGGATTTTGGTGTATAAAAAACATTTAAATAAATACAATTTAAGCCTTAAACGTACTGTTTTCAAATGAGAGAGAAAGGATATTTAACTACTTTTGTTAGAGTAAACCAATCAAGTTCCAGGATTTAATTTTCGAGCTGGCCGGGTGTTTATTCCTGATCCTATGAACCCTATAAAATTCAGACGCTGAGTTTTAGGTGACCTCTCTCCTGTAACCTGAGTTTAAGTTAAACATAAAAACAAGGTTTGTATCAAACAGAACGGATTGATACTTAACATTATGTAACAATAATAATTCCATTATTTTGGCTAATAACAATACATACATTGCAATTTAGCAAATACTTAAAGTTAAACTTTATAATGAATATTTCCTCATGCTTACCTTATAAGGTCAGTTGCATAATGGATAGTTTTCGATTATTTTGTTTTCTGTAAATTTATAAATCGAAGAATTCAACCCAGTATTTTTATAATTAAGCTATAGCTAGAGAATAATCAAATATAAATAAATACCTATATATTTAGAAGTTTCGCAGCTCGCATCAAAGCTAAAACCGCAAATTATTTATAACAATATTGTGCTGTAAATATGTCTTAATGAATAGCTTATAGCCTGTAGGTAAATATAATCTACGCATACATAATCACTAACTTACTATTATTTTTTTTTAAAACAATTATATAACTAAAACTTACATATTATTTAGCATAACAAAAAAAATCATGTTTTGTTATTCTATTTTTATTCATTTAATATTTCCGCAGATATTGGAGATTGAAAGTAATATATTTAAAAGTATTATGAAATCGGTTTTATTTGCCTACAGCGGATCGTGCTCATCAATATTCATATACTGCAACATTTATAGTTGTTAAGAGTCAAGTAATATATAATTTTCTGTCTACCGAGTATTTTAAAAATAATATATTTATAATAAAAACAGCTCAGACCTCAGTACTTTTAATACGTACGAAAGGTACAGCAAGAAACAAGATAAATCACTTTTTTAAACCTGAAAAAATGTTTGAACCAATGAGGTCGGGAAATTGGGGGGAAGAAGTGGAGTCGAGCGGTCACGGGTCAATAATCATTAGGAATTACTAAAATTGAAATTAATAAAACGTCTCTTAAAAAAAGAGGGAAAGTGCATTTGAATAATGTATACGAACAAAAATATAACACATAACAGTCCTTCTTGTCCAGCCTAAACTATTAAATGTAGTGACTCAAAAAAAATTATTCAGAATTGATTTTTGAAATTCGACATATTATAATTTTCAGATAATTACCTTTTTAAAAAAAAATGTTTAAAATATACATGTTACCATTTAAGCTTCATAAGTTAATATAAATATATTAAAAATACCAAATAGGTTTTAACAAATTATTAAGAAAACGATAAACTACAAACTACAAGTATTTTCGGATAAAAAGAATAAATGGATTATTTGAAATTGAAAACCATATCATATAAATTTAAATGTTTTGTTGTTGTAAATTATACATTTTTTTTTGTTTTGCAACAACATAAATTTACTATTACCTACTTTTAGTTTGAACATACTTGGTTGCAATATTTAATATTAAAATCTAAACTCGTACCGGATGGCATGTAGGTATAAGAAAATAATCAGTGCTTTATTAAAGATTTTTAAATTTATTATATATTTAAATAGGTAGTTTTAAATAGTAATTACGATTTTGGAAGTTATTTGATGTTAATTGTAATATAATAGGTATAGTGATTGAGAAATATATATTTATTCGTCATAGAGAAATTAACAAGGGTAAGACAAGGGTGCCCACTTTCACCATTATTATTCAACTGCTACATAGAAAAAAGTATAACGGAAGTTAAAGATAAACTTAACAGACTTGGGATTGGAATCAAAGTAGGTGGTATATTGATTCCAATGATCCGGTTTGCAGACGACATCGTATTATTAGCAGAAACAGAGCACGACCTTCAGAGAGCCCTGGCAGAAATGCAAATAATTATAAATAAGTATCAAATGCGTATAAATTCAGGTAAAACAAAAATTCTGGTTTGTGCACGTGAACCCACAATTAACGCAAATATTTATTTAGAAAACCAACTTATTTCCCAAGTTTTTAGTTTTAAATACTTGGGAAGTTTAATAACATCAGACGGAAAAAGCTCGCAGGAAATTAAACAAAGAATCGGGCAAGCAAAGGCAGCTTTTATCAAGAAAAAGAAAATTTTGGTTTCGCAAAAAATTAGCAGAGAAATTAAGAAGACATTTTTAAGAACGTTTGTATGGAGTGTACCTTTATACGGCTGCGAGACATGGGTCATTAATGAAAAGGAAAAAAGATCCCTTGAAGCATTCGAAATGTGGTGTTGGAGACGTATGGAGAAAATAAACTGGACAGAAAGAGTAGCAAATGAAGATGTACTGACCCAAGTTGGAGAAACAAGATCTATAATTAAAGCCATAAAGCGACGACGATGGGACATGATGGGACACGTTTTACGCTATGACGAAGAATTGCATCATACTATAATAGAAGGTGCAATTGAAGGACGAAAACCACCAGGAAGACCAAGAAACTCGTACATATCTCAACTGAAAAATGACGCAGGGATTGATACTTACGCCGGATTAAAAAGACTTGCTGAAGATCGTGATAAATGGAGAGCGAAGTTAAAAACGTTGTAAACCAACCTAATATAGGTTGAAAAAAAAAAAAAAGAGAGAAATTAGTGTAAATTCAACATCAGTAATTCTAGAAAAAACTTAAGCACTTATGGTTATATACTTATATGTAATAAAATAATAATAAAAACCCTTAACCATAAAAATTATATACTCTCCGCGAATACGTCGTATTTCGGCAACAATGTTGTCATCTTCAGCGCTCACGACAGACTCTGTCGTTATTTTATCAGTAATTCTTAATGAAGGCTTATGATGTGAAAAATATGAACCGTAGTTTCGAGTTTGTCAGTGCTCAACTTGACGGGTGAATACATGCATCGATGCATGTACCATTTCTAGTAATTGAGATGGATGGATCATTGTTTAGTTAAAGGGTGGAGGTTTATTGCATGAAATTGACTAACTGAGCTCCATCAGCACTCTTTAAGTCTACATTAAAATCACCAACAAGTATGAGTGGCATAGTATTCAATTTCAGTTCGTTTAATTCTTCCATCAAACCAACAAGTTCATAACTGTAAGCTAGTATATGTAATACACTGCAACCAATAGAGCTTTTTTGTCATTTAATTAAAAATTATTTAAACAATTATTGGTTGTTTGAATCGCGGAAATATCACCTATTCCATCATGCATAGTCGGCATAAGCTTCACTTTCATTTCGATACGTTTAAGCACACAAGTGCTTTGTCCACTTTATATGGTTTTGAGATATAGAGTTTAACTCTTGCGAGCTCTTAAAAATAAAATCCACAAAAGACATACAACTTTACGGTTATTTGTAGTTAAACAATTATTTATGATCTTTGGAAATATCACTGGTATTCATTCGGTTCAGTTTTTTATCACGAATTCAGGGACACCCAAAATCACGATTTTGAAAAAAAAAAATAGACAGCATTTGTGTGCTTTAAAGTTTAAAATATCGAATTTTGTTCTTCAGCAAATTTCAAGAGCTCGTGTTCTGAGGATTCGAATTTCGAATGCAACATTGTCTTTCTGTAGTATACCTACTCCAACCGCTCTGACTGAATTGCATTTAAATTGCGACGTAGGATGGAATCTTGGTATGTCAATTAAGTGATAACTGATAATCATTTTCAATTCAGGTTTCCGTTAATGCCATCATCTTACAATTGGGTAGAACAAAGTCAGTAGCGATATCATCCGAATGAGCTTGTAAGGACTGAACGTAAAATGTGAATATTGTTGCTATGCAGCTACCGAATTATGTTTATTGATATCCACATTACATTTTTCGAATTAACATAAAATCATCACGCAAATTTACAACTGACCCCAGCCCAAAAACGTATCAATGTTAAAAACAAAATTTCATTGCCAAACACTGATTATTTTACAATTTACATGTATATAATACAATGAAATAAATAATGTCAATAATAATGCAATGTATGAAGTCAATCAGTTGATTTGTTATTGACACATCGTGGTCGTCGTCACCCGACCTTGAAAATATATTTTTGAGATAAATGCGTTTAACTATTGAAGTTGTAACTGTTAATAATTGTCAAGGTTATTTGAACATTTCAGGGATTATTTCAACAACCATTGTTAGTAGGTAGAACGTTTAACTTACCCCTTCGTAAAGTTACACATCTGCGTGTCACATCAAAAAATTGTTTTGTTCTTCTCGCAAAAATTAGTTTTTATCTTATAATGTAATTATTATCATAATATCATGGCAAGACAAACTTAAATTTTAACGTACCAAACCTAAATGCGATGAAGACAAACAAACAATTTTTCGCAATGAAAAGTGGAAATGTATTACGAACTGGTGTCGATTTAATACTTAATGTATAAAAAGACAAAACTTAAAATCATAATTTTTTTTTTATGTTAAACAAGGCATGACTCTTTAATCTATTGGTAATATATTGCTATAGGATGCAAAATATGTCGAGTATTGTTTTCATTCCAATAGATATAATGTTAAATTGCCACCGTTAAAATAAAATAATACCTCCAAAGACATATAGGTACCTTGATATTGAAAGAGAATAAACGGTTAACTGTAAAGCGCTATTAAGAATGATGAGTGAACATTATGATGCTCATAATCCATTAGTTATTACCTGTAGTACCAAACTATAAAATGTCCTTGGTAATACTTATACATTACGTATTAAATTATAATGCATGTGTTGTATATTAATTATCTATATAGATAATTAAGATACAAGTTTTTTAACATCTATACTGCATTTAAATACATAATTATCCTGTCTGGTATTGTCTTCAAAGTTCAAACTATATGGGTTAATATTTAATAACGATGAAACTGTCATTGAGTTTTATAATAAATCTCGTATTAAAAATTAAAATGTTAAATACCATGTACAAGTGAGAGCAACTATATATTTTTTTAGAGTGGGAGGAGGTTATTATAAGTCAAAAATTAAAATTAATGTATTCATTCTCGATTCTTACATCACTTTGTTCTCAAATAGTAATAATAAAAGAAAAGGTCTTGTGTTAAAAAGTTGTTAATAAATTACAAAATTGGAACCTACTTATTTATCAATTATTGCATAGAAAAAATGAATAGTTAAAATAGGGCATAATAAAATATATATTTTGAATAACTATAAAACAATAGTTTGACCCACTAAATGTAAAGTTGCTTTTACTAAATATTCTATTAATACTTGCTGTTCGAAAAAGGTATTTATCATTTTTTTAAATCCGTTATAAGTTTCTAGAAAATATGCCACTGTTTCCAATATGTTGTCCTTTTCATGTTTATGTTAGAAAATTATTTTGATTTAAAACCAACAAGGCTAGATAAAAAAATTCTGCGTAGTCAGTTTATAATGCTATACATTTGGGAATATAACGTTCTCCAAATCAAAGAGTGTTAAGTAGGCAACATTTCCAAAAATTATTTATGTGTTTAATATGTGTTTTCACGTGAAAATATCAGTACGAACTAGGATTAGAAGGATGAGCGTGTGGAATATTGAAAGAACGACGTTCAAGGGTATATTGTCTCTTGCTCGAAGTACAATGTCTCTTTTATTGAATTCTTGAACAACAATCCGTACCGCTACTTCATCAGATTGTGGCGCATTTAAACGACTTCTGTGCTGCCAAGCAGATGGTACTCAATCAGCTCTAATGATCACCTTAATGTCAGTGGAGTTCAGTGATATTGATTCAATAGCAGTTTTGGAGCCTTGCACATATGAATTTATATTTTGTAGAGGTGCTTGTAAATTATATAGAATTTTTGTTGATATAAAGAGACATAGAAAACAGTCTTTCTAGTTCTCAATTTTCCATAAAATATATTTGTAAAAATATTGGTTCTTCATGATTGCTTGGTAATAGGGAACCAAACCAACTGCATGATAACGTTGACCTTGAATTTAAAATGTAGGCATGTGTTTTACTTCTGTGGCATCGAATGACGCCATTTGGAAAGAAGAATTATACTTCCGTATATTATGGAGAAAAAGTTTACAATGATAATGAGTACCACTGAGACTTTTCAAGGGTTCCGATTACTCAGCAATTTCGCCCAACAAAACTTTTCCTCCTGCACATCAAAGGCCGGGGGCTTGACCATTTTATTGCCAGACAATATTTACTAATTATACCATATTGTCAATATAAGCATGAGCATCATTTACATAATCAATTAAAGCGTCCTATTTATAAATATGGACATTTTTTAGGCTGCCAAGGAGAGTGTGGTAAATTTAGGATTTCTCGTGATGCAATATTATTTTGATTGAGAGTAATTATTTTTATTTTACTATATTGCAGAATGAGCTCGACTTCTTTGTTAACGAATTTGTTTGCAAGCATTACACATTTCTTTATTGACTTATTTAATTTTTTCTATGACAATAAATAATAATTAATTGTAATAGCCAATAGGAACATCAATTGAAAATAAATGGTAGACAATGAAAAATGGAGGTAAATACCCTAGACGGAGATTGGGGGGTGCTTGGAGAGCGGGCTTAGCCACCCAAAATTATTTGATCACTCATCAAAGTAATGATGCGGTGGTGTGAAGCCCTTGTGGGTTATTTTAGGAAGAATAACGCCAGCCCCCCAAAAAATTATTTAAATCTTCGCCTATAAACATATTAATGGCAGCAAGTAATACAGCCGATATTGATTTTTTTAATTTTGTCAATACTGATACACTCAAGTCATATTTAAAGTCAAATAGATAATTAGTTAAGACTTATAAATGCATATTATTTTTAAATTATTGTAGCATATGTTATTCATTATTTATTATATTATACTACCTGTTATTATTATACTATTTATTATTATTATATATATTATACTATTTTTGTAAATGGAGTTGATTCCGTAATATAGAATATTATTATTATTATTATTATAATAAATACACAAAATCAAGTTTAAATTAATTGGAAACAATAAACTAAGAAATTCACACATATATACATTTGTTTTTATGTTGTTAAATATATCTATTATGGTTGTTAATTAATATATTTATTGGATTAAAGCATGGAAAAAAAAATTAAAAATAGCCTATGACACTTAGCAGAACCTGATAAATCTTTTGACATAATTTCTATGAAAATCGGACGAAAAGTGTTTGATTACCTTGACCATACATCTAAACGCTTACAATTGCATATGTATTGGTATACATAAATTTATACATAATACATCTTCATACCAGCATATTATGTTACAATTAAATAAGTATCATTTTTTTTTTGCGTTAAAAATTGTTCACACTTAATCAACATTTTTAATGTTTTAAAGTTGTACTTAAAAAATTGTATCTTCATCATGAATTAAATTTAAAAAATATTATGCTTAATAAATTATTTTTTATAATTGTTTTTAACAAAAAACAAATTAAAAGAAAAATATACATATTAAATGGACAAAAACCAAAAAGATTTCTCATTTCAATTGAGTAGAATTAAATAATATAAACAAATAAAATACTTAATATCTTGACAATCATCATTTATCAACTATTTATTGATCTGAAAAATATAAGTAACATTGCTTAAAGATAATTTATAATTTAGTCAGCTACATATTTGAGAGTAAATTATCAAACATAACATCTCTGGCCTTTGGTCTGGGATTTTCTTTAATAGCAGTCTTTACTGCTCCAGCTTGACCTAACATCCATTCAAATTCTAAAAAAAAAAAATGTATTATACTACAGAAAAATATAACTCAATAATTATTACATATAGTCAATAAGAATATAATCAATATAGTTACCATTAGTTGAATCTTTGTCAAATCTACCTATGTTGTCATTAGTTAGTTAACAATTCGAACCCATTGCAGAGTTCATTTTCAGAGAAATACTGCCGCGATAATACTCAGTGTACCACTAAGTATAGTCACGACAATACCTATTTCTTTGCTCTGATTTAGAGACTCTGAATATAGAACCTTCAATGGGTTTGAAATTTAAGCTAATGATAACATAGATCCGAAAATTACCATACTAATAGTTCAATCCATGAATGATGAAAGTGTTAACACATTAATATAATTACCATCTTGAGTTGTTGTTAACGAGAACATTCGAGGTCCAATAAACTGATGTTTCATATCACCCTCAAAATAGATGAAAATAGTAGGTAAATTACTATCAGGATAATTTGGGATACATGTTGTTGAAATACTCTTGACAAATTTTGTTGCTGGGAATTTACGAGCTAAATGATTTAGATATTCATTCATCAATGCACAAGTTGGAATACTGTAATAAACAAATAAATAATTTAGTTTAAATTCAAATTTCACAAAAAAAAGTCAAAAAGTGAATTTTGCAAGGTTACCAGGGATAGTATGTTTAATAATTGGATCATAAAAACCATTAATCTGGTCCTTATAGATCTTACAAATGTTTCATTTAAAAACAAGTGTCTAAAAAATATTTTATACAACACATTTTTTTTAGAACAAAACAAAATTTAAATAATTTTGTTACTCCCAACATTTTTTTTCTCAAATAGTGAATTAAAAAATAATGTGTTTAGACAATGTCCTTATTTAGATATCTACTTAATTAAGTATTACATTTAAAACAGTAAAATCAATAATTTTGAAATAATCCTATTTATTGAGGTTTTATCCCCGATACTTACCCTTGTTTGTATAAAAGTAAAACCACCCAAATTCCTGATCCTGCCTTATTAATTTGATTTACAAAATCTTGACCATTGATTTCTATAACTTCACCAAAAACATCTTTTTTAGCTTGTTCTTTTAATTCAGAAATCCTACGTCGACGATATTCTTCCAAAACTCTTTCATCTTCATCATCTTCCAGCTCATCTAATTCATCAAGAGACATATCACCCATATCTTTCTTCACTCCTGGAAAAATAATATTATAGACAATTTTCTATACCCAAATACTTAACATTATTTTTAATTTATAATTTTAAAAAAAAATTTCTCTTAAAAAATACCATTTTGTTTTTCTCGAACAGTCTGTTCTACTAGGTTTATGACATCATCTTCAGTTATTTCTTTTTCTTTTTTTGGGGGTAATATTCCTTTGGCTCGCAAAATATCGTTCCATTCCGTGTCCTCATTAGGATTCTAATAAAATTATTTATTTACAAAACAGTTTTTACTTTTATGAATTAATAATTTATATAAAAACAATTAGAGAATACATAAACATACCTGCATAATTAATGTTATTAAAAAATTAACAATAAATTAATATTTAAAAAAATTATTTGTCGTTGCGCTATTCGAGAGTTATAGTGGCTTGAGCAAAGTGGTAACTGTGTAGTGTGCTGTGAGAACTGCTAATTGCTATATAAGCGCTAATACTGATTACTGAATACTTAGATAAGGCTCCAGTCCATATATGGAGTGAAAGAAATAAAAACTGTCATTAGCGTTGTTATAAATATCATACTAACTTCAGATCAGTAGGCAGTATCAACTATCAAATGAATATTGTTTTCATTTTTAGGTTAAAAATATTTATTTTGATAACAATAAAGAAAAATTAGATAACATTATCAAGAGTGAAGAGCGTAAAATGTAAATAAATTACTAAATTCACTAGATATGGTAAAAATTAAATTATTTATTTTGAATCAAATTATATTTTACTAACCGTATTATTGTTGTTCTATTTATTATACTTAAAATTATTAAAATAGTTTATATTTTAACTTTATTTTAAGTACGGTCAAAATGGGGTTGATGACAGTTTTAAAGAAGATGAAACAGAAGGAAAAAGAAATGAGAATCTTAATACTGTATCCTTTTGACCATATTTTGTAAAGTATGATTATGGTAGTTACAACAACAAGAGGTAAAGTAAATATTGTTAATTCAGGCCTTATTTTAAAATTTATTGAGTTTTGTAAAACAAGTTTTATAGTATGCAGTCAATATATTATACGTTGTTTTAATTGTGGAAGTATAAACAATAAATAATACCATTTTTTAATATTGAAAGTAGTCAACATAAAAGTTTGCAATCAAATTCAATGTTTTCACTATATTATCATAAGGTGGCGCAAACAATTGAAAGTTATAATTCTTTAACATTTATACTTCTTTAGAGGTTTAGATAATGCTGGAAAAACAACTATTTTGAAAAAGTATAACGGAGAACCTACCAACACAATTGAGCCAACATTGGGTTTCAACATAAAAACATTAGATCATAAAAAGTAACAGTAAAATTATTTCTTTACTTGTATTCAGGGCTTGAATATGATAGCACCTTGATTATTGTAGTTAATAGAATTTCTAAAAATAGAATGACATACTATAATATGCATTAAAAATACTTATATTAGCAAACAAATATTGTAGAAATGCTATAAAATTCAAACTCTGCTTATTATTGTATAATTACATACTATAATACCATTACTCATATTGGAACAATTCTAGTTTAGCTAACTTTCGATATTTTTGAATTTGTTTCTTTCAATATGTGTGTTTTTGCATGCTTAGTTAAAATCTGTAATCAGAAATTGTCGGACTCGTATAGTTCAAAAGTTACAGCTGTTTGAAGTTACAGTATACCGTTGGGCATGGCACTGCGCGGCGCGGTGCGGCGAGCAGAAGACCTGTCGATGCGCGGCGACGCAAATCGCAGTTCGTGTTTTTTTCTTAATTTTTAAACTTTTACGTTAAGTATTTAAAAGCTACTTGGGATGGGGGCTTACACCTTATATTGCTGATCTATTATTGTAAGGCAGGTCACCGAGTATTTTGGCACTCGCTCGCTGCGCTCGCTCTGCGCCGTCGCTTCGCTCCGCTAAACTAAAAAATCCTAGGTTTGCAGGCTACAGTCTAGAAGGAGGTAACAGGTTTAAAGTAAAGTCAAATTAAATGTTGAATAAGTTAAAAAATTAAGAAAAAACACAAACTGCGATTCGCGTCGCCGCGCATCGACAGGTCTGCCGCTCGCCGCACCGCGCCGTGGGTGCCATGCGCAACGATATACTGTAACTTCAAATAGCTGTAACTTTTGAACTATACAAGTCCGACAATTTCTGATTACAGATTTTAATTAAGCATGCAAAAACACACATTTTGAAAGAAACAAATTCAAAAATATCGAAAGTTAGCTAAACTAGAATTATGCCCTCATATTATATAATATAACTAATAATATAAATTATGATAATTTTAGTTATAAATTAAATGTCTGGGATGTTGGTGGTCAAAAGTCTTTAAGGTCATATTGGAGAAACTATTTTGAGAGTACTGATGGTCTTATATGGGTAGTTGATAGTGCAGACAAAAGACGATTGAATGACTGTACTGCTGAACTACATAGTCTAATTGAAGAAGAGGTAATTTTATTCAAAACTATCTGAAAAATTGCATATGTTTAATATTTTTGTAAATCAAAGAAATCATGGTTATACACTGTAGTCTGTATATTATGTTAAAAATTATTTTACTTGAATAGTTGATTTATATAATTTATAATAGTTAAAAACATTAATAGAAATAGTTTATAATAATTAATATGGACATTACTTTTAGAGGTTGGCAGGAGCTACTTTACTAATTTTTGCCAACAAACAAGATTTACCGGGAGCATTATCCGCTGAAGAAATAAAAGAAGTAAGAAACTGCTTTTTTTAGATATTATTAATACTTTCTAATAAGCTTATACAAATTACAAACACAGTATAAATATTGTCTTGACATTATGTTGATGTTTTAGGTTCTGCAATTAGACCGTATAAAAACCCATCATTGGAAAATAATTCGTTGCAGTGCATATACTGGTGAAAATTTACTAGAAGGAATTAACTGGATGGTCAGTGACATTTCCGCAAGAATATTTACTCTAGATTAATAATTAATGAGTTAAACAGTAACTATAATTAATTGTTTTATGTATAATCATGCATTCCTTACAAACTCTTGACAATATAATATAGTAATTTTTATTGTAATTATAAAATTGCTACAGATTAGTTTTGTATAAAATAATAATACAAATATAACCAAGCATTTAAAATGTAATATCAAAAATTTGTGACTACAATTTACCAAATAAGTCAAAGGCCATGGTCAACTTTCCTAAAAAATGATATCTTTATTTCTAAAATATTGATATTCTTATGAATAATAATCTAATAGTATACTGTATACCTTACAATATGAGTATATTTATAAATTCATTAATCTACTTCTACTTAAGTATTATACTGATCTGTATGTAGTTATAATTTGTGATGTATAATACATTAAAAAAAAAAAAAAAATTAATTTAAATTTTGTCAGAAGTTATAGGCAACCTAAAAAATTGAATATCATTACTTAACTGACTGAAATGGTAAAATGTAGTTGAAATATAATTAAATTATTTATTTTTGTTAAAATTGTACACACCGAAGCTTTGTATATTATTTATTGTTACCTACACATACCTATTTAATACATCATTATGTATTTTAATCAAAGGTTAAATACCTAAAAGCATAAATTGTACATACTAGGTAATTTTTATTTTATGTAAATTCTTTGGACTTTTTTTGCTCTGCTTAAGGTGTCTCATTATATTTAATTATACAAATTAATTATGGTATATAATGTAGTATAATACTAAATTTAACTTTCTATGGGTATAATATTAATATATTAATAATGTTATAATAATAAAAACAATTTCTTTATGCTAAAATGCAAAAATATTTTAACAACCAGCGTAGACTGGTTAAAAGATTGTTTAATCAAGTTCTAGTAGAGGGGAAAATACCAGAAAAGTGGAGGAAGAGATCTGTAGTACCTCTCTATTTGAAGGCAAATGATGAAACAGTTTATAATGTGGAAATTATAGAGAAATAAAACAAGAGGACAAGAGGTTGACTGAACAAGAAATGACAATTTGCGGTCACGTAGTAGGCGAGGTTGGGAATTTTAAGTATTTAGTAACTTTTGTATAAAACAAAACGGTGGCTTTGATAAGGATATGAAACAGGATTAAGTGTGGTTGGGTTAAGTGGAGAGAAACATCAGGTGTTTTATGAGATAGAGAATTTTAATTAGACTTAAAGGTAAGTTTTACAAGAAGGTAATAAGACCGACTGTTGTATGAACGAATAAAAAAGAGGCAGCGTTTCAGCTAGTAAAATACTTTTCAATATTGTGAATTTATCACATTGGCCATTGCTGACTGCGATTTGCGTCATATACTCTGTTCGGAATAAGAATAGAGTATAGGTACGTGTACAATTACTATTGTTAACACACACACACACACATATATATATATATATATATATATATATATATATATATATATGTATATGTCTGTGATCGTTAACAACTAAATTTCCATTATCATGCTTTTGTATTTTATACTCTTTGGACGTCCAAGGAGTAATTATAAAAAACTGCCGGAATTGAATACGGATTTTCAATTCCTGAAATCTAAGGGCCTCTAGTCATTGCCGTGAGTTACAAACTTTGGAATTCATATCTTTTTTCAGTTCTTTTTCTAAATTTCTGATTTACTTTTTGAGTTACTTAATAATTATTTTATGCTTAAAGCTCATGTAATAAGTATAACAGGAGTTTACAAAATTTCGGTTTTTAGCTTATCACAAATCACATGATTAAGAATGCCGCATGCGGCCTGATAATTATAATCAATATTCAATAGTATTTCTTTGTAATTATTGTCTTCATTCTGTAATAACTAATATCTTAACAGATACCTAATTCAAATGTAGGTAATTTTTGTTAAATTAAAATATATATTAAGTTTTAATTATTACTATGGATGATATGATTCTCGAAAGAAAAGAAAGTTATACAAATGGAAATAGTTTTGAACTAAAACACGATAATTATGCTGAAGAAATTCATAATGAATATGAAGAACACATGTCTGGGTTCAAAACATCCAAATTACAAGATGAGCTATCGGTAATACAATTTTACTTTTTACAGTTCATTAAAATCTAGGTAACCATAATACCTACATACTAAGTCCATTTAAAATTAGTTATTTTACTGAGTACATTGTATTTATTTATAAATTAAATATTAATTGAATTTATATTGCGTAGTAGTTGCAAGTATGAATTCAATATCTACATTAGTTGTATTATACCCGTGTTCACAAAACATATTTGGTATAATTACAATTTTGTGATATTTTCTCAATATTGTTTAATTTTTGAAATTCTTGTATGTTCAGTTATATGCTTAATTTGATGGCGTACTCTATTTTCCTTGGAAAGTTATAGTTGTTTACATTTTAATTAGTACTATTATTTGAGGAGTTCAAGTTCTTATCACATCTAATCTTATTGAATTTAGGCCAAAGCTATTGAAACTAACTTCAAACATTATTTTTTTATTTACAGACTGAACAGAAAATCACTACAATATATCCATCAGAATCCATACAATCTGAGAGTGAAACAGATGAAATATATGATGAATGTTACTCCTGTTTTATGTGTAATATATCTTATGATACTCAATTTGAATTAGATGAACATTTGCGATCGCATAATGATGATGAAACATTTCATCATAGTAATATTAACAGCATTAGTGAACCTTTACCACAAGAGTCTATACGACCATCTAAATACTTAAGATGTAATGAATGCTTCAAATTATGCAAAAGTCAGTTGTCTTACAATGAACACATGTTAACACATACTGGAGAAAAACCACATCACTGTCGTGTTTGTGACCGAAAATTTCGTCACATAGCTAATTTCAGAACACATTTGAAAAGTCACAATAATGTAAGACATTTAGTTTGTTCTCTTTGCTGCAAAACTATTGTGGGAGAAAAGAATTATTACATCCATTACATGGATGTCCATAACAAAATGGCTGTTCGACAGCCTCGTCCATATCAGAGTAGTTCATCTGACAGTGATGAAGATTTTAATCCAAAGATATCCTATTACAAAAAAAAAAAAGTTAATGTACGTAATGGAAAAACTCCAAAGGATAGTGAACCATTTGGGCCTCTTTTTGCTAAAAAAGCATGGGAAAAAAAACAACGTCAATTTGAACATGATGACTCAGACGTATATATATATTTAAACGTATTATAATTTAATGTAAAACTAAAATTATAAAACTTTTTTTTTTTTAGATTGAAAAACAAAAAACTGAAAGAGATGCAGTTCAAGAAGCTATTGAAAATTCAAGGATTGATATTCAAAATATGCTTAGAAAAAGAAAGCAACATTTAATTGATTATAACACTGAAGAATACCAAAAACTTATAGAAAGTTTAGTAGATGAGAAAAATTCTACTGGTCAAATCAATGAAGCAAAACTAATTGGACCTCTATTTTGGAAAAATGCTCTAATTAAGGCTGGTTTAGTAGAAGAGTATATACTTCCTGTACAGTTTCAAAGTCAATTAAGAGTTACTGAATGTGTGTCTTGTAGAAAATGTTTTGCCAGGTAATGTTTAAATACTACTTTTACATTAAAAAATTAAATAATGATAATAAATTGGCTTTTGATTTTTGGTCACTAATAATTCGCCAACAAAATTTTATTATAAAATGGTGCTTTCCAACTCACAGTTAAATTAACAAACAAATATCATCTTTCAAAAAAAGAATAGTGAATGATAGATCAATAATTTACTTGTGCAATCAATAATGGAAACAAATCTATTTATGCATATTTTAAATATGCAAAAAATGTTGTGCCACTTGCAATTAATTTAGATGTTATACATTCTAAGTTTATGTGTATGGTAGCGTCGAAATAAATCCCAAAATAATACCTAATATACTGATGAATTTTTAATCCTGTAATAAATTAATTTCTTAAGATAACTAAACAACAGATTCAATAAAAATAACCACGAAGAGCAGGGGAATGGGTCATGACTGCAGTAATCGCAGTAAAATGTCCGCAAATGCAGATCATTAATAAACTGCTAAATGTTAGCAATCTGCGTATTTTAAAGTTTAATCATTAAAACTTCAAAATAAATTGCAAAGGCGAAGAATTTTTTCAGATTCAGAATCGGCATAAAAAATAGTAAACACTATTGATAAAATAAGAAAAGTGGTCTTCAAATATATTAAATATTTGAAATATATCATAAATTAAATTAAATTTTATTAATGTTTATTATTATCTAAATTAACATTTGTTTTAACTATTGTAGATTGCCTAAGTGTAATGACAGTAACATAACACCTTCTACCCCTCCATGCTCAAGCTGTTTTATGATGAAAAATGAAACGACATTGAATAAGCACAAGTCTGAGCAACACAAAGAAAATCCCCCATTTTTTTGTAAAGAATGTTTATCTGAATCTAATACATGGTATGATTACGTCCAACACATGAAAATGCATTTAAAATATGCTGCAAGGTGTAGTGAGTGTATTTACAACATGATAAACAAGCCTGAACAAGTGATATTTTTATGTCACGAATGTGATATGTCTTTTGACTCTGACGAACAGTTAAAAGATCATGTAAATTCCCATTTAGAACATGGACAATGTAATGGATATAATCTTAATTCTGTAGCTTAATTTTATCTTAGTTTGTAGATGCTATTAGTATACATTCTTAAAAGAAATAATTTATAATTAATATAAACAATTTTTAGTGATTAAAATTAAATTAATTTAAGTAATACTTTACTAGTTCATAAAATATTGTTAAAGTACATTTTTATTTTGCATACCAATAATGGATATTTAATTAAAAAATATTTTTTTATGTAATTTAATTATGTGTCCCTTTTATGTGAGTATATATATAGCAATTATTATTTAACAATAATGTTATTTGTATTCATAAATAATAATAACTAATGATTAATGAAAAATAAAATCACCTTAGGTGTTTGGAGATATTGTTATTAAAACCAACTATTTCCATACAAACAAAAAAATATAAAGAGGACCACTAAAGAGTACCTACTTGAAAAAATTTTTAAATAATAATTTTCAATGATATTGTATGTAACAAATATTTTTATTTAAATAAGTTATAACTAAATATGTAATTTTTTTGAAAATACCTATATTTGTATTTCATGCACCAACATAATCCAATAAGTTTAAAACATATTCTTGTATTCAAAGCAAACATGGGTTAGTTCTTATGTGATCAGTAATATGTAATTAATTAAAAATTTTAAGCTAATGCAAACTTCTCCTGTTTATGCCACTGTAAGTTATGAAATCATTCAGAAATTAGAAGTTTAAAATATTTGAATTTTATAGCTATAAACATTAAAAAAAAGAATGTGTCATTTGTTTGGATATTAACTAAAACAGGAAAATTATATTTTGCTTTTAATTAGACATTAGTTTGATACCTATGTTAGTGTTAAAGAATTTTCATTTACCAATCAATAATGCTGTAGTATATACAATTACACTTATACATGATGTTAAGGAATGACTGTTTCTTTAACAAGGAAATATTGTGAAAGACTTGTAATAGGCATGTATAATGTAAAATTAAAGATAATTAAAATAATTTTCGGTACAACTGTAAGATGATTAAATATGACTTAATTTAGTTGTATAAAGATTAAGGTGATAAGGTGATTAATACTTTTGAAACTCTTCTAAATTCTTTTACAAGTTATTGTTACTGTGTAACTTATTATTCCCAAAACTGCCTACTGATCATATTGCTCAACACTTTAAAAAACAATTTATGAGATCAATAGCATGTCAGCTAACCACATTTTTTATTGTAATTCCATCAATTTTTTTATTTTAGAAAATATTTTATTTCATACATGCTAAAATATAAATTTTGCTCACAACTTTATCCAGACCCTTGGTTTTAACCATACATAACAAGCAAAACAAAACTCTCATATTTAAGGCTTTTTTTTTGAAATTGTATTTTTTTCTCTATTTGTGAGGTTCTTGTATTATAACATTTGAGATAAAATATTTTAAAAAATGGTAAACATGTTAAACAATATAAATATGTTATCGAAATGTAATAACTATTCACTAATATAAATTAAAATCTTGAGACTCTTAATAACGAACATATAACCACTAGAAGAAAGTATTATGATTATGTCTTTACTATTATGTAAGTTTACATTATTATTAGTGAGTAAAAAGGATATTCTAATTATTCACTTAAATATTATTAATGTACAATTATACTAAATTAAAATAAACTAAGTTCACTGTTCATATCATGTGCAGTTGATGTTACTTAAAAAACTTTAAACATACTCATGAGGGCAACCATATACGCTATAATATAATAATAGTATGCTTAATGCTAGTAAACCTAGTATTTATAGTTGCTTGTATTGTTTTTTAACATGAGTGATATTTGAAGAATACTGATAGGCTTGTTTTATAGTATAATATATAATTAATGTAATTAATATAATAAAATTAATATCTTTTTGCCTTTTTGAAAATGTTAAGTGTTTTTGTGGTCACCCTGTATTATAAGATAATTGTTAATAATTAACTTATCTTTCAGACCCTGATTTTTATTGTTTTGGTTAGAATTTATTTACTATTTTATAATATAATACATATCACATATTATATACCTGTAGACTTTAAAACATATTTTTTATTTAACAATCATTCATTGAACTTATATATTTTTTACTGTGCTTGAATTTAACAAACAACACATTTTTTTCAAAAAAAAAGAAAAGTTATATATATATATATTTTTTAACAGTTTTATATAAATTACAAAGTAAAAGTTATTGTCAAAACTAAAATGAAAGTTCAATAAAAATTGATTTGTTAAATCAGTGTTAAAAAACGACCTGTGGGAAGACCAAGATAACAGTGGATGGACCGAGTTAAGGATGACTTAAGAGATTTAGAAATGGAGCGAATATTGAGGATGCTGAGGATCAATAAGTTTGGAGGGCTCTGGTAGAAGCTGCGAAGCCACTAAATGGCGCGTGAAGAAAAAAAAATTGGATTTCAATCATGGAGCAAGTAAAACTCATTCTGCGTAGGTATGTTTTCACGCTAGAGAATGTTGTAGCTAAAGTAACCGTTACACATCATGGATGATATAATTTAATTTTTAATAGTTGTTATAAAAATAATTAATTTTGGAGGTTAAAAACATATACTTAAATTTATAAAAAAAAATTAAGATCACGCTATATAAAAACTCTGTATGTTTTTAGCTTAAGGGCTTAAGAGATTAATTTAATTTATAAATTCATTTTGTTGCTTTTTTAAAAAAATACAATACATGTACAACTCTCTATCTCCGACACAAGCATTTGCTTTTGAGAGATAGATAAATCGATTTATTTCATATGTATTTTTTTGTAATGCAAATGTTTTATGATTTAATAAAAAAAAAAATAATAATAAGTATTTTTGCTCTAAAATCATCATAAAGCTAGTAAAACGTATTCTGCGTAGGTATGTTTTAACGTTGGAAAATTGGATGTATGATGTCTTTTTAAACACCCGTCTTACCGCTAACATCTATGAAAAATTTGAATTAACTGAGGGTTGGAGGACCGAGGATGAATAAGGTACTCTAAGCACATATGCGTTGTACAGTTGTTTTTGGTTAACCTGGTTAGGTAAATTTGTATTAGAATTGTTATTTAAGTTAACATAATCAAATAGACAACAGTAAAATTATTCGTATTCGAATACTCATCACTACATAGAATATATATAATATTCTATGTATTGAAGTATTTAAAAAGGTCCATAGTATGTATACTAGATTTTATGTGGTTAAAATTATATTTGTTTTAATATTACAATCGAATCAAGACTGAAGAATATAGTTCGTAGTCCAATTAAATACACTATATCGAGTTAGAAATTCACTACATTTGAATTTCCATAATACTTTTGAATATTATCAATGAAATCCAAATTATCACTTTACAGTTTATTTAATTAAAAAACACTGATTACATAGTACGTATAAATACACATTATGGTAACACGCAAATATTGTAAGCGATAACCAGTAATAAAAACACTGTCAGACGTCAGTGTTTTTAAATTGAGGGTAAATAAGATAAAGGCTTGATAAAAATATAAAAAATATTAAATGCTACTAAAAAAAAAATAGGTAAATATACTAACACGTTTAATACTATTAGCTTAGTTGATCAATAATAATTATTTATTAGTTGAAATATCTCATGTCTACTAGGCTACTTGAGTGTTAAGTAAATTACCTATGAAAGCCAAATCAACGCTCTAAATTACGAACTGTAAGACACTGAAAAAATAAACCAGAACAGTGTTAAAATGTATAAACGATTAGGATGTTTTCTCAACTTAGATGGGGTTAAATTTATTAATTTTTGGTCTTAGACAAAGTACTTTTCAGCTATGATTTCTGTTCTATAGACTTGCTACACTAAACAAATTGTCTAGTGGTTACAGAGATATAGATAAAGACACGAAAGTATTAACACACCATAATAAAATAAAAATATTAAAATCAATACCTATTATATTTATTCATACTCACCACTCAAGAACGCCCTTGGATAAAAAAGCTACATATTTTTCTAGTTATTTTAATTTCTAACGACCCCTCCACCAAAGTTTTTGCGAATTGGGTCGGACTACACCAGATTTGCCGTATCCGGTCAATTTAGTAAAATATAAATATCATTAAATTACTGTAAAATACAAAGCACAGTAGGGCAGGGGCGTATTTAGATATTTTTTTCGGGGGGGGGGGGGGCATTAAGTAAAAGAGCTGTGTAAAGAGTTATTTTTTAATTCTGATCCAGAAATAAACCTTAAAAATTTGGCCAAACTTACCCATTAAAAACAAGACTTCGAAATTAAGTGTAAAATTTTAATATTATAATTCTGATACAATTAGTATTAGTTACAAAATCTCAAGTTAGGAAATCTTATGTCTTACAAAATATATAATAAAATAGAAATTATAATTCATACTCATTAATACTAATTACAATATCAGTAAAACAAATTATATTAAATTCAAATTTCTCTCTACCACTGTTGGCAATTTTGTCTAATACCATATCATCATTTATATCAATGTCTCAGTGAATGGATAAAAGTGCTAGTCCTACTAGCCTGGACTCAGAAGTTGTATTTCTTAAATATGTTTTAAGTCTTCTAAGAGTCGAAAAGCTGCGTTCAGCCGTAGCGGTGGATACTGGAATTATAGCTAGTATTTTTAGTAATTTAAATATGTAAGGGTACATCAAACGATCATAGGCTCTTAGAGCTTCTATAGCAGTTGCAGGTCTTAAGTTTTCTTCAATATTTTTCCATTTAGCCTGCCAAATTTCATACTCTGCTTCTATAATGTCGTTTAGCCCAGGTAAATCACTTTTATAATTTCACTATTTAAAATTTCCTCGTCAACATAACGAATACATAAGGAAAATTGTTTGACTTGAGATATGTCAGTGGTTTCATCTGCTAGTATTGTATAAAAATTTGTTTTTGATACTTTTTCAAGTATTTTTAATTGAATTAATTCAATAGATACATTACCACAATACATAGATTTACCACCACTAGTTTCTAAATGTTCTTTAATAGGTACGTTATCACCATTTTTTGCGCGATATCGGAGCAAACAACGGAAATTACCATCGTTATCTAATAAGATTTGACCAGAATCCTCATGTCCCCTTAACGCTATAGTTGCTGTCTGCCACATAACCTAACTGTTTGAATAATTGGTTTAAGTTTTTCGCGATTTTTTAAAATTTCATCCTTTCGTTTATTATTTAATTGTACTAATATATTATCTTGTTTTTTATCTAAAATAGCCTTTATGTTATCAGCGGTAAGCAACGAATTTTTATAATGATTATTTTTTTCGTGATTTCTGAACTCTTCCAATTTCGTCAAGGGTTTTTAAAACAAGTTTGCCTAACTGCTCATGAGAATCCTTACCAGCCTGACTTGAATTAAAAACAATACACAGTATTTACAAAAAGAACCTTCTCTTAATTTTGAATAAGCCAACCATTTAAAAGTTTCAAGCATTTTAATTTGAAATGTACGTTTATATTTTCCAGTAGTATCATATGGAAAATCAAACTTACAATCAGGGGTCCATACGTTTTGTAAAATAGAAACCTTTTTTTCGTCACTTAAATTTTGTTAACACTCAACGCAAGCTCCTATATCAAACTTAGAATCGAAAATATGTTTAATTACCGGAGAAATAACTTCTACACTTGAAGCGGCTTGTTTTGTTTCAGATGCCACAGTGTCTTCATCTAGGAAAACATTTGATAAAGATGGAACAGTATCATCGGTTGACTGTTTAGATTTTTTAAAAAAGGTCAACAATTACTGAGTTCGTTTCATTATATTATTTTAATAAAATTAATTTTATTCAAGAGAAACACAGAACATTGTACACACGTTACACACGTTATTACTTATTAGTAAAATATACTATGAATTCGATAATATTTCTAAGCATGCCAAACCCCCCAATTCTTAACATAGCATACAAAAAACAAATAAAAACATTTCGTTTTTGCTTTATTTTTATATAACATAAATATTATTCTAGTATTTCTATAACATCTGCGATTTGTTATTGATATAAGTAGGTATATATGTATACAGGCTATAGCAATCTTTTTTTTATATCGTTGACATTTTTTCCCCAATATAAAATATACTACTGATGTTTAATTGTTTGTATTTATTTACAATATCTCTACAATAGTAGTGTACACTGTATGTATCGCGGAATAAAGCAAAATATTATGACGATGATCACTCCTATCCCTACGTTTTGCCACAAGACTGAAAACAGTTGGCGCCCGTAAGTCGGCCGCCCAAAATATAATAATAACAACTTCAGTCGTTGTGTTATAAAAAAAAATCGTAAATAGCAATTTATTATTTTTAAAACGACAATATTGAACTTCTACAATTTATATCCTATAGATATAGGGTATAGCTCATGCCGCTTAGGCAGACTTAAAAAAATGTCCTGAAATTTCGGGGGGGGGGGGGGGCTGAAGCCCCTCAGCCCCCCCCCCCATAAATGCGCCCCTGCAGTAGGGTAAAGGCATATGAGTAGTCGAGAGATGGCAGATCTTCAGGAATCAATTTAACGCGTCACATTCATTTTCTCGGAGAAATAATAACCAAACATTAACACATAAAAATACAATTATGTATTTGATTTGCAATATAGTTTACTATGTTTGGGAGTAGGTAACCTATTTAAAATATTATCATATTACATCAGCTATATAACATAATAAGAACCAGATGAATGTACATATAAAAACACAATTATAATGCTTAGTGTGTAATCAAAGGCGGACAATGATTAGGCTATTGTCTATGTGTACACACTACGCACATGTATTTATTAAACGGCCCGTTTTTATATAGATAGTATTACGTTTGTATAGCATTCAGTCATGTATCACCGTTTGAATTGCTTAAGCAGTACTCGGCGCTTTTACTCATCCGGGGTTTCAAAAACCGTGTTCGACCGCGAGTCTTTCACTTGCAGACATATTGGTCCAAACGATGTCGAGCAGGAGCAGATGCTTAAAGAACTTGGATACCAGGTAGGTACGCATTTATGATTCAATAATAATATTATACAAAGACTAATGGCCGTTTGCGCCAACTACATACATTTTAAAAGAGTTTAACGTATAGTTTCAGTATTGTAAGAATACCCTTAATTTCTAAGCATAATTGGTGCAAACGGTCATAAGTTAACTAAATATTTATTTAATGTAATATATTCTTTGCTATTAGCTATAAAAATACAATGTTTGTGGAAATTTTAGTGTTTAATAGAAACGGAGGTTAATTTAACGTTCTCATTTTAAAGAGTATTTTATTAGGTTTTAAAAATGTAACCGTTATTGTCTCTCTTAGCACACACATTTTCGAAAAAACTGATTACAAGTTACATATTATAATGTTTTAAAATGAGTGAACTTAAAAGAAAAATATTTTTATAAACATCTTTTAATTTATATCCATAATATTCATACAATTTTATAATATATATTATACAACTTACATATTATAAAATATTATTTATTTTTGTAATGGATAGCAAGTAGTAAAGGGTGAAATTTAAAAATCTGCCCCCAGCCACCATATTTGTTAACACTTAACACGTCACTCTATAAATATAGTTGCGCCGATTTCCATGTTGATTTTCAGGCAATCGCCCTACTAGACTATTCGAAATATTAACCAGCTTATTAGCTTAGTGCTAATCAAATTTAAATAGAATAACTAAAAAAACACCTAGTTTATTTTTAATCATGAAACTGACGACTTAGAATAATTAAGCCACGTGTTCTTTAATATTTATTTATAATAATCTAGGTTAACTAGTCTAGGCATTGTAAATTATTCTATTTAAATTTGATTAGCATTAAGCTCATAAGTTGTCTTGGTTAACATTTAAATTAAAAGTCAAGTGTTCAAAGATCACAAAATATTGTCAAATTAACTGTTTTGTATACTTTTTAGGACCACATAAAAAAACGAGTGTGGTGATAGAAAGCCACTGGAAACCTATAGTAATATTAACTGAATCGAAGAATAGAAGTGTTAAAAAGATTGAATCCTTTAGCGTTTAACGTGTAGCAATGTTAGCCAATTTTGTATCCAACAAATTATAATAACATTTTTAAACAATGTTTTACATATTGTTCGTACTTATAAAATGGTTCATATACTTTATATTTAATAATCTATTTTGTAGTTAAATCGCATTTGTGATTAGAGAGATAGAAATTATTTTAAAATTTTAAATTATATTTATACCTGTATAATATGGATAGAAATTCTACGTAAAAAAAACGAATTTTGAACAAGAAGTTTATTTTGAACTTGGATCATTTTATAATCAAATAAATTCCAGTATTCTATAAGATGTACTGTGTACTTAACAACACGAGCACATTTTTATTAATAATAAGAGTATAATTAAATAGTTTTCTCCTAGTACGCTAAAAATGAATGATTGAATGATAACTTAATTTAAAATTTTTCATGGTCAAACTGAGTTGGCCAACTATATTGTAAGATTAATTGTAGTTTGACGTACTTACATTGTTATATTTTATACTTGAATATAACTAGAATGTATTAATTTCATATTTACTAACCAAATACATTATAAGTTTTATTTACGTAGGTAGTTAAAGGTGTAACGAATTTTTCAAACGATTTCTTAATTTATAATGAATTCCAATCATTTTTCAAAACTGTATTTATCTTTTTTCAGTTATTGTTTACATATTTGTCTTAAAACTAATCTGGAGTGTAGGTATTTGTTGTACAAAACGATTATCATTTGACTGTCAAACGGATGATTTCGACAAATATTTATGTTATAATAAAACATACTATTGTCTACCCATGTTACTTACGTAAAACATTTATACATATTTTTTCAGGATCTGGAAGAACTAAGTAAGGCCGTGATCCCAGATAGTGTTTACCTCGAAAAGTCACCTTGTTTAAAATCAGCCGTTATAGGTATGATATCTATAAGAACTGATAACCTTTAAAGGTCATGGCAATATGTAATTTTACAAATATTTTGTTAATAACTGCGTCTATCGATGGACGTATATTTATTGAAGTATTTGCAATTATGCAAAAGGTACAGCTGAGCTAGGTGTTATATTGTTGTTGCTACATAGAAATTGGGACGTGCACGTTGCACTATTCAATATAATACTATAGGTTTAAACTACTCCGCTTTCTTTAACTGGCATTTGTGAGATTGATGGGTTTCTTAGATTAATTAAGTTTGTTAATCACTTTAATTATAAGCTATACTTCAATGTGTGTATGTGTCGATAGATGAGCACACTTTGGCTGAATTGATTAAATCTATTGCCAATAAAAATCAGACATGGAAAAGCTATATAGGAATGGGTTATTACAACTGTCACATACCACATGTCATCAAAAGGAACATGCTAGAAAATCCAGGATGGTAATTTTCCGATTTACCGTAATTTGACCCTAACTGTTTGCTAAATTTATGATCGTATTTTCATCAGGCTGACCCCTTACACACCCTATCAAGAAGAAATCGGTCAGGGTCGGCTAGAAGGCCTATTGAATTTCCAAACCATGATTATAGACCTCACAAGCATGGACGTGGCAAATGCATCTCTGCTGGACGAAGCCACGGCCGCCTCCGAAGCTCTAGCCATGACATTTCGGCACAACAAACGTAAGCAATGGTTTTTAGCCAACAACGTACACCCACAAACGATAGCGGTGGTCCGCACAAGAGCCGAAGCGCTTGGCATTGAAGTTCACGTTGGTGATCCCGGTCATGTAGACTTCAGGCCGTACAGCGGCATTTTACTGCAGTACCCAGATACTTATGGGTATTTATTAGATTACGAAGAGATCGTGCACAAGGCTCACAGTAGTGAGGTTTGTCTGAACGCAGTGTTTATTTTATATCACTATAACTCTCAGACGCTCGTTTCTCTCTAGACGCTGGTCGTGTGCGCGACGGATCTGCTTTCGCTTACTTTAATAAAAACTCCAGGTGAATTCGGCGTCGATATATCGGTTGGAACCAGTCAGCGGTTTGGTACACCTCTGGGTTACGGAGGACCTCATGCTGCGTTTATCGCTTGCAAAAAGAAACTCATGAGACTTATACCTGGCAGGATGGTCGGTGTTACAAGGTAGGCACATATTATAATCTTGATGCTTTTATATTTTTCTACTTATCGTCTACTTTTTACATCAACAAAATTTATATTTTATATATTTTTTTTATATTTTGCATCTGATGGCTTTATATTTTTTTATGATATAATTTTATAGAGACACTGATGGCGATCAAGCATACAGGTTGACATTACAGACCCGCGAACAGCACATACGGCGTGAACGAGCCACTAGTAACATATGCACGGCTCAAGCTCTACTGGCGAACTTGTCAGCTATGTATGCCGTGTACCATGGACCCAATGGACTAAAGAATATAGCTAAAAAAGTGCACCATAGTGCCATACTACTGAAAACAGCTCTGGACGAATTGGGCTATCAAACGAATAGTGGTAGTATTTTTGATACGGTTCAAGTTAGGAGCAACATTTCACATAAAGATATTTTAAGCAAATGTAGAGAAAAAATGATCAATATTAGATGGTACGATGATCGATCTGTAAGTGCATGATTTTGATTTTAAGTATTTGTAGTGTCCAAGTAAGGGTTTTAGAAATATTTTAAGTTTACTTTGTTTACAGTTTGGAATTTCTATGGACGAGACCGTCACAACTGAAGACCTTGATAATTTATTATGGATCTTTGGTTATAAAAATGGTATAAATCAAGTAAGAATTAGACATTTTTAACTTTTGTTGAGCTGCTTTGAGTTGATTTTTTGCTTAGATCATATCGAAAAACGAACTTCAAGAACAAGTGAGTAATTCGATATTCAAGCGAACTTCACAGTATTTACAGCATCCGGTATTCAATACTCATAAATCTGAAACTAAAATCGTTCGATACATAAAACAGCTGGAAAATAAGGACATTTCGCTAGTCCATTCCATGATTCCTTTAGTGAGTAAATGACGATTTATCAGTACACATTTGTTATTTATACTTAATTTTATGGTTTTTATCTTATACTAAGGGCTCATGTACGATGAAGTTGAATGCGACAGTTGAATTGTTACCGCTTTCAGAACCAGGATTCATAAATATACACCCCTTTGTACCCTCGGAACAAGCGTTAGGATACCAATATATTCTTCAGGATTTGGAACATGACCTTTGTCAGTTGACGGGTTTCGATAAAGTATCTTTTCAACCCAACAGGTACCTAATAAATAGATTCGTGATATGATACATTTATAATAATAATTTTTGATTTAGCGGTGCTCAAGGAGAATTCGCTGGTCTTTGTGCCATAATGAAATATCATAAGCAACGGAGCGATAACGACCGAAAAGTGTGTTTAATACCGACGTCGGCACACGGTACAAATCCAGCATCAGCCCAAATGGCAGGCATGGATATACAGACAATCAATACATCGAAAGACGGTTGTATCGATTTACAGGATCTCAAAGACAAAGTAAAATAATAACTATTGTTACTATAATTGTAACTATTAGAAATTTGTATACTTCTAAATTAGGTCAAAAAGCATAAAAGCCAATTATCTTGCATAATGATCACGTATCCTTCTACTAATGGAGTATTTGAAGAATCTGTGAAAGATATTTGTGAACTTGTTCATTTAAACGGAGGACAAGTACACCATTTAGCACACATTTTTAATCGCAAACCAAACAAATCAAACAATTTAACGTTACATTAATAATTTATAGGTTTACATGGATGGAGCTAACATGAATGCACAAGTTGGGCTTTGCCGACCCGGCGATATTGGTGCAGACGTTTCTCATTTAAACTTGCACAAAACGTTTTGTATACCACATGGTGGAGGTGGCCCTGGAATGGGACCGATAGCAGTGTAATAATAACATATAATACAATATAAACAATTACAATTTTTTTAGAGACTCGCATTTTTAATTATTTTAGGAAGTCACATTTGATACCGTATTTACCATCTCATCCAGTCATAAAAAATGGGAACGAGCTGAGTTTGGGTACTGTTAGTGCGGCTCCATATGGTTCAGCATCCATTATACCTATTTCTTGGGCTTATGTTAAAGTATGGTTTTGATATCGATGAAAACATAAAAACTCATTTTAATATACTATCGTCTTTTTTACAGCTAATGGGCTCCGAAGGTCTCAGAAAAGCTACTCAAGTAGCCATATTAAACGCTAATTATATGAGTAAAAAATTAAGTAGTCATTACCAAACATTATTTGTGGGTACCAAAAATCAGTTGGTAGCACACGAATTTATAATAGACACTCGAGAATTAAAGAATACTGCCAATATTGATGCTACAGATATTGCCAAACGATTGATTGATTATGGTACACCTCAATGACTTAATGCTTACGTTTGCAACAATTTTCAGTTTTGAATGATTATTATTAATGTATTAAACGTAAAATTGTTACATACTTAGGGTTCCACGCTCCTACTATGTCATGGCCAGTAGCTGGAACATTGATGATAGAACCGACAGAATCAGAAAGTAAAGAAGAGTTGGACCGGTTTTGTAATGCTTTAATTAGTATGTATATGACTATTTATAGTTTTAAATAATAAAGACTCTAATCAAATCCATTTGCAAATTTCATTAACTAATAAGTCATGATAATAAAATTTGCAACTAATAAGTCAGAATAGATCATTCATCATTATATATAGTTATCATTACTGATTATTAACACCAGTATTTATAATCAATGGTATTAGGGGTGTGTTTTTTTAAAATATTTACAAAGTTTTCAATTTCAGTTGTACCTATATATACATATTAGTTTTGCCAACGTTTCGGAAGCCTTTCATCTTTAGAGCTGTGTTACGTGCTAGTTATGATGTTCGTTTCTCTGCTGCACTGCTGCCTATTGAGTGTAGACTAATTTCTAATTTTCTAAAACTATAGTCTCTGAACTCTACGGTTGTAGGTTATATTATTATGTGTCGTAAAATAAAATATGTAATAGCATAAGTTAAATATAATATAATGTAGGATAATTATTATCTATCAATCGATTTTATCAACAGTAATATATTATAAGTTATAACTTTTAAGTTATTATTACCAATACAAAACACAAATAGGTAATTTCTTATAATATTGATTCGTATTTAAACAGATAGTCTTTAAGATATAATAACAAATTTACAGATATAAGAGAAGAAATAAGACAAATAGAAAACAACAAAGCAGATCAACAACAAAACCTTTTGAAACTGGCACCACATACACTAAAACAAATTTGTAAAGATAATTGGAGTAGGCCGTATTCCAGAGAATCGGCTGCTTATCCTATGGTATTTTTATTTTAATACAGCTATTCAGTTAATACAAACTACAAAATTAATTATACTCTCTTTTTCAGGGATATCGTCAAAAAGTGTGGCCTAGTGTTGGGCGTATTGACAGTAAATATGGTGACCAAAATGTAATTTGCAGTTGCCCTCTGTTAATTTAAAATACAACCATGAAGACTATAATGACAAACCTATTTAATGAAAATGTTTTTATTCTTGCTGAGAAATATTTTTTTTGTATTAAACTCCAGCACGTATCGTATACCTAGTTACTTCTCCTATCTACAAATTAAACACATTAAAAAAAAATTACAAATTACAAATTTATAAAAGATTAACATTTATAAATCGAAATTACATGTAAAACAATTACAATTTACTATTAAATACGGCTATTAACTTGTGATGGAACATCAAAATATTTTTCATGAGAATTTGAAACCGAATTAGGTTACAAGATAACATTTACAATTTAGTGCAAAAATAAGTGTAGGTATTAACTATTAATGATAAGTATGACAATTATGGTTTACGGTTTTAAACGTGTAATATTATCAATGTAAATTTAGTTTTACGCACTCTCTGATTGTTTTTCTTCCTTTTGTTTTGTTTTCTAGTATTTTATATTGTCGCTTAAAATCATGTCATTACTAATAAGTAATAATGTAATTTTACATTTCCATTTTACTTATTTTTAGTGTCTAATTGTTGAGCCAAATACAGAATACTTTTATTAATGAAGGCTATAAAAATTTTTTTTTTTAAAAAAACGTGTAACATTAAAAAAAAAAGATAAGTATCGAGGTATAAAACCCTGGTCAAAGTTGGGCATTATTTAGTTAATATTTTATTTAAATAATTTTTCAAATAAAAGTTGATTATTCGTGTAACCACAAATAACCATACGAATCATATGATATAAACCACAATGATAATTAAATCGACTATTGGTACATTCTCTTTTTCATTAATTGTATTTGAAAAACTTTCTGAGGAAGTAACGTTTTGAATAACAGTGATGTCCGTAGTATAAGTATCCGAGTTTGAACAAATAGTGAACGTTTCTCGTATAGTTTCAACTTAATTTATACAAATACTTAGATTATAAAAAGAAAATATTTTAGGGGTTTTTCGCACTAAGTTATTAGTTTATTTTTTTCCCCGCGATTTTTTTATACCGATACCCACTCAGGCGTGATCGACCGTCACTCATTTTACTAGAGCTTTTATTAAAAAAGTCACAAATCACGAAAAAAAAATTAGATATTCATACAAATTAGGACATTAACTTTTCATCTACACTAAAAACTTAAACATCGAACACGTGCATTACTATGACGCATTCGCCCATTCGCGATCGCATCGTCTTATGATTAGGTTTTTATTAAATTTTATATTTTGTGATATTAACATATTGTAGACTTAAAAATAAAAATTGATTTCATGATAAAAGATAAACACACAATCGTCAAACCATGCTATGTTTTTCTAATTTATTACCAATATATTATTTTATGATCGTCGTATCCTGTTGTCTGTTGTCAAGTCATAAATACAACATGACAGTGGCAAATTTAATAATAATGGAGCAATGCTAATAGGATAATTTATTCTATGATTTTGAAATTGAAAATCCCCTTATAACAATAAATATTAATAATAAATATTACCACAATCCCGTTGATCTAAAAAGTGTGTAGCTAGTTTCATTTCATTCGGTTCTAGTTACAAATAAAAAAAGTTTTATATTAAAAATTATTTGCCGCCCTAAGCACTAGCTTATAGTGTTTACTGGGAAATACGGCACTATTATGAATAATGATTAAATTAACTATTGATAGCCCATGATTAACTTTTTCAATCATGACTAATTTAAATATTATTCGCGATTAATTTAACTATAGTTAAATAATTCTCAAAAATAAATCTCAATCACGAACTGCCCATTAATAATTGTATTTATGATGCGACCAAAACACGATTGAAGCCTAGAAACCCCTCATCAAAAACAGCTAAGGACCTAATCAACACAAACTTCGATATGATGATGAACTGGAAACAAACATGGGCAGCCACGGTAGAGAACGACAACATCCTAGGTAACTTATCACCAGGACATATACCCACAGGATTTGACCTACAGCGCAATCTGTGGTGCACACTTAATAGAATACGAACTTCGCACGGTAGATGTGCAGATTCCTTGCACAAATGGGGCATGAGAAACTCTCCAGAATGTGACTGTGGAGCGGAGAAGCAGACCATCTACCACATAGCTTTTGTATGTCCTATCCACGCCTATCGAGGTCCCAGAATCGACTGTCTCACAACCCCTCCTACATTTATTAAATGGCTGGAGGAACTAGAACTAAACTCTAATACCAAATATACTATTTTGTTACCTTATTAATATTACTCACTGTTACCCATACTACTAAATACCCTATTTTTGTTTTTTTTTTATTCATCTGTTATACACTAATTCAATTTACTGTACGTTACCATATTATAATTATTCTAATGTAGGTAACCATAAACCATACGCTAAATAAATAAATAATTTAACTATTACCCATGATTAAATGTTTCAATCAAGACTAATTTAATCGTACTTCAAAGTTGAAATATGTATTCATGATTAATTTTATTTATTATTATATGATTAAATTAATCATAATTAAAAAGTTAACTTTATGTAATGACTAAAATATTTAGTCATCGAATTAAGGCGATTGGATATCGGCCTTAATTAAGGCGTTTTAGGTAGGCAATTTCTGGTTTTTCTCTGTTACGCGTTGTCGTTGTGTGCATAGTAAAAGAACATTAGTGTGAGTGTTGTTATCTTACACCCTACCGTCCTCGCACCTGTCTAATTCATTGTTGACACTTGACTCTCGTATGCACACGCACAAGTCCGTTTAAACGGCTACTGTTCAGGATTCATACAACTTACGCTGCAAAAACTACTGATTTTACTTCAATCAGTCCGATCGTTTTATTGATGCGATAACACTTTTGAAAATTAATTTGAGTTCAGCGTGAAGTCTTGAGATCGGTCAGGACTCAGGCCACTTTTTCAGTTTTATTTAATAATATTTAAAAAAAAAAAAGATTTAATATTTTACAAAAAAATTAATTGAAATGTATGGAATTTTGAGGACAAAATTAAAAAATGTAATCTGGCCGATCTCAAGTAGACTTCATGGCGAATTCATATACATTTTCAGAAGTCTTATCGCTTCAGTACAATGATCGGACCGATTGAAGTTAAATGGGTAGTTTTTGACGAAAAAATTGGCGGTACCTAATAGCCTTAACTTTCAACTTAAATAATAAATGCCCATTTGTGACCCCGGTATTAAGCTATACCTGTGTGCCATAAAAAATACCAGTGTTTACTGTTTATTAATTACACTGATACCTTCATGTATTTGAATATCCTTGTAATCATGCCTTATAAATAAATTATTTTGGTTTTCCTTACTAGATACTATTAAACAAAAGAAATCGATTTTGTCAAAGTGCAGATATCTTTTAAAGTCGCATCACTCGCAATATTGTCAATAATCAATTGAAATAAATAAATTACGTTTATAGACTACCAAAACTAAAGTTTTTATAAATTGACAGATTAGGAATAAAAAAAAAAAAAAAAATTAACTATTTTATTGTAAATATAACATTTTACACCTACTACCATTTTTACTTTTCAGTTTACCATTTTACTTCTCTCGTTATAAATCTTAGGATAAAAAGTAGTATGTTTTGTTTATTCATGAATAGTTGTACATATTTTGATTCAATAGGGGTTTTATTAGGTGAAACAATATTTTCAAAAAATTCTTAAATGTATAAGTTTTATGGGGTAAGCGAAACATATTATTATTATTATTCGGGGCATAAAACAAAATATACTAAATTTTTTTAAAACTAATTATAGTATAATATTCCGTAGGGCAAATGAAACATTTAACGGTAGTTATTATGAACATGCAAAGAAAAGTACAAATATTATATATATTTTTTTTTAATAAAATTTTCTAAAAAAAAAATAATATAATGTGCATAATAATTACATACAAAAATAAGGGCGCTTTATGTAATAAAAAACACATTTATTAAATTTAAAAAAATTCAATATATAATAATTTTAATAGTTACAAATATGAATAATTTTTGAGACATTTATTTTAAATCCAAGTATGATACATGTCGTCGGCTAGCCAAATTGTTTACAACCTAAACTAAGCTGCCTTTTTAATTTATTAACTAAACATTTGCATGACTAGATGTAAAAAAAAAATAATATATATATAAATAATAAACATAAAAAATATAGAGATTCATGACTTTTGTTCTTGTGTAAAATTAGTAATGAGCAAAAAAACAGAACAAAATAATTTAAGTCCAATATGAGTAAAACTACTATAATACGTCTAATGTTAATAGTGCAATGAATATAATTAAAATAAATAAATATATAATTGAAAAAAGAACAGGCACTGTAACTTTAAAAGCGGAAGACTTATTAATTTTTGTACTATTAATTTTAGTCATGCGTGGCATTTAAATTAAAAAAAAAAGCCATTTAATGGCAATATATTTTTACATATCTTTGGTAAACAATATTAGGCTAAATGGCATTGATTTTGTTTTATGTTTGGAGATAGGTAACATGTAAAACACGACTCATTAATATGATTGAATGCATAAATAAAAAAATAAAATTGAAGAACATAGTGTCTGAAACAACCCTTTTTAATTTTGTACAAAAGTAGAATTACCGCTGCTGCAATCAGTCTAATTTACTAAGCAATAATGCATTTTCTTTGTTGGTGTTTAAGTGGAACAGGTCGCAGTACAGCTCTTACTGCTTCATCAAAAACCTAAAACAATTATAACACAATATTTATTTTGCCAAACTAATTCTGTGAAAAAACTACATTACATGGAATTCGTTAATATTGATGATAAGCCAAGACAATAATTAATATTTAACTAACCAATTTTAATCCTCGTTGTGTCAATGCAGAACATTCTAAATATTTGACAGCTCTGATTTTATTTGCCAGTTTTTGACCCTGTTCGCGTTTTATTGGAGACAGTCCTTGCTCAGATAAAATATTTAATGTCTCTTTGTCTTCTCTTAAATCTATTTTTGTACCGACTAAAATCATAGGCGCGTCTGGACAATGATGTTTGATTTCAGGATACCATTTAGAAACTACATTTTCAAATGAAGATGGACTAGCAACACTAAAGCATACAAGAAAAACATCGGTCTGAAACAAAACAAGTTACAGTAGGTATTATAAAATTATTAGATAAAATATTTAAGAATAGAAAAAAATAAAATAATTCTTAACTTAAAAGGTAGAACTTTATTCAAATAAGCTGCTTACCATAAGGGACCAAGAGAAACAGCATAATAATATAATTTTGTATAAATTGTTAATTATAAGTTATAATACAGAAATATAAAATATTATATGTTACCTGTGGATACGAAAGAGGTCTAAGTCTGTCATAATCCTCCTGTCCGGCTGTATCCCAAAGTCCAAGACTCACAGGAATGCTGTCTACTACCATTGGCGCAGAGTAATTATCGAATCTATTATATAATTTAGCATATTATAAAAATGGCACCATCTGAATTAATGTTATACAACTGTCATGAATAACTTACACTGTAGGCACATATTCTCCAGGAAAGCTGTCTGTAGTATACGATATTAGCATGCAAGTTTTTCCAACAGTGCCATCTCCGACAACTACACATTTTATTGGTCTGCCCGCCGACATTTTAAAACAAAGTATACTATGTTTAAAAAAAGGCCAATGTGCTAGATTATTCTTTAGAAAACAGTATACAAAAATCTTCTAATCTTCTTTATACAGTTTTATTGGTAATTACAGAAACCCAAGATAAAACGGTCAGACATTTTAATTAATTTTAATTAGTACGATGATTGTTGGAAAATAAAAAGTAAATAAAAACTCGACTATAAAATATTGTACTTATCAATTATTTTATTTATTTATCAAACATTTGTTTGGCGTTATCTTAAAAAAACTCTCCAGCGTTTACAATTAAATGCACCGCTCGACATTAAACGTTACGCTGTCAACTGATAACAAACATGTAATCATCGGATTGCAGCATATAGGTATAGACTATTGAGCAAAATGCAAACTAATAACTTATAACTATTGAAACGTTTTTCGAAAAATGAATTCTCGTAATACTTCGAACTTCTAAATAATTATAAAATAATACAACATGTATATTCAATTTACTAAAAGCTAATATTATAATAATTTACCAATAACTATAACCTTTTTTTTGAAATAATTGTTTAATATTGTATCATTATTGGTCATTTATTTGGAATACATATTATTTATCAAAGTAAGTAGTGCACACTGCACATTAAATTCATTGATTATTTAAGTTTACCATAGTAATACAGAATTAAAAACTTTAAACATAGTAATTCAAATCGTTCTCATGGTAATACAATTTTCATGGATGTTTAATTATTACAATTATTAGTAATTATTACGATTTCATGTTATAATATGTTTGTAAATGTTCACATTATTTCATAATATATATTTTTTTAATATACATACTGATAGTTCTTTTAAAATTACGAGTTCTTGGAAATTAAATACGAAGAACATTACTGCATTTTAGATACTGATGTTTTAGCAATAATAAGCGTCAGTAATAAGAAAATAATAAACAGTTTGTTTGAAATTATGTGTTTTATATCAAAAATATTTATACAAAATACTTAAATTACAAAACCTATTCTTAATCATTTTAGTTTATATAAAAAAAAAAAAATAAATAAATATTTGTCTATTATTCTAGTTAATATTTTTGGTTAGCAAAACAATTTTTCAAATTTCTTTATTGGAAAATATACAATTTATTTTTTTTTGCATCTAAAGAACATAATATAGTAAGTACTTTGAGTATCTAAATTTTAATGTGTGAGCTTATTTAATTTATAATCTACTTTTTTTTTTTTTTAAGTAAGAAAGAGCAGATTATGTAAGGAAATAATTTTTAATTGATAGGTATAGTAGCAGAAGTAAGACTTATTGGGTTGACAAATAAAAATATATAAAACTGTAAATTTAAAAAAAAATGTTGTTTATAATAAATAGAAGTGCCTATACATTGTTTCATTATTTCCTATAACGCTTCACCACTTAAATTATACCTTTTTCAAAAATAATAATTTTTTATTGTAAACAAAACTAAGACATTTAGGAGTGAAAAAGTTACAAAGTTGAAATCTAAATGAAGTTGTATATCTAAGATTTATATTTATACTCTGTAAAATATTAACTGAGTATACATTTTAACGTGACGTCTATGACCAATAGTCCTATAATGACAACATTATAGTCAACATTTTATTAGAGATGCTTTTAAAACAGAATGGAAAAAATCCATAATTTTCTAATTAACCAAAATAATTAAAAAATCTAAATCACTAAAACCCGATTTCTATCAATAACTTGAATAATTCGCAGAGAATTTTGTGTGATGTGCAGTGGCAAAAAAAATTACAGTCTATACGCTGAGGGTAAAATATTTTTTTGTACCCTATAAAAGTTCCATAAAATACTAAATAGAATGCACACTGGGGATCTATTAGTATGCAGACACAATTTTTTTTTGCAATGTAATTTAAGTTTTAGTAGTTATTGTGTGGTGGATGAAAATAGTTTGATTAGCTTTTATAAATTATATCTATATTTGATCAGTCAGTATTTGGTCCTAGGAAAAGTGCACGCAATAGATGGGTGTGTTCACTAAACCCAGTATGCATGCCTATTTCAATTTAAATAGTAACTGAAATAAACATTTAACACAAAATAACTGTGTTATTAAACAGTTTGTATTAATAACACAGTTATTTTTTTAAATGAGTAAACACTATTTTAGACCTAAAAGCCTGACAAAATTAGGCATTCTTAAGATGATCCGTTTTCAATTCTGTAAAGTGATTTGATTGAAGAGTTCTTTGATTACTTTACTATACTAAGTTATGTAGAAAAACGATTTTTATTTAAAAAAATCAGTTTCTTGTAGTGGGTTTTTTTTTGTTTTCTTTAATTATTTCAGTTTAAAAAAGTTAAAAATTGCTGTTGTTTACATTGAAATAATTAATTTACTAAAAATAATTTTAAAATTGTGACACAGTCAATGCCTTGAAAATGTATAGGAACATATGTTTTTTTATAAAAGTAGATCCTATATGGGTTATTATAAGAGTTGAAAAAAAATTAATTATCAAAATAGATTCTTCTTTCTTATGGCAATATTTTTGTTTAAACATTTTAGTGAAAAATTGCCTATACAATGCGCCTTAATAAATGCTAGTGTAGAGGCCCCTTAATAAAATATTTATGGGCACCATTACTAAAGAGAATAAAGAAAAAAACTGAGTAATTGCATATCAATACATAATATATTTTTTAATAAAATTGATTTAATTTCTATATAATTTCAATAAATTTACTGTTATATTATTATTACTAACATACAAAAGAAGGCAAAAATTGTTAACTTTAATGTGTAACTATCATTATGTATAAAATATGTAGGTACTATTAATAATATGTAATTAAAATTTATTTTTAGTTTTATTTTTTAATAAGAAGATAGTGTTTTTACATTTATATATATAAACTAAAAATAAGTTATAGGTATATATAATTAAAGAAGACTGCGTCATTCTCTGGTTTTAATAATTGTGCTATAATAAAATTGATAACTATTTTTATTTTATTTGTTTGGTCTATACATTTTTTATCAATTTCAATTAACATCTAAGACATGTAACCTTACTTTCATGATGTTTAAAAAAAAATATGTATAATGGTGAATGGGTAAAATAAATACCAAGTTAGAGGTGTCACAAAATATTTATGTGGGGTAAACTCAACTAAAGTATTGGGTTAAATATTTACGATTTTAATTATTTTTTCTTTTTATGTATTTTAATAGTGAGGTAGACTTATATTTTCCTTCATTATTCTTTATCTCCTCTACACATTTCTTTATACAAATTAAGTACGTTTTTAACTTTCTGGATCCAACCATTTTCAAGTCTATTTTGTTCTCTGTTACTTTGAAGTTCACTTTATCTTTGTTCTGCTATAATTCACTTACTTTTTATTGTACATCGATTTTTTTCCTATCAAGATCTAAAAAATTGTATTCATATTTTAGGTCTTTCTTAAAATAAAAATTGAACTACATTCCATTATTTAAATGATTCATATATATTTTAAAGAATTGTGGAAATTCATATTTATTTATTACTTAATTTACACCTACGATAACATAATATTATTTAAACGATTATTAGGAACATTTTCATGTAGGTCATCGTCTGGGTACAATACCGCCGAATAAACTAAAATAATTGATGAGTAATCCGTTCTTAGTAAATATTAAATACTTTATGTGTACACTTCAAAATAGTTACCTAGATAGTAGTATTAATATTATAGTTTAAATTTTGATTAAACCAATTGAGTAATAATACATTATGAGTATTATTACTTAGAGGGTTTACTGTACAATATAATAATATATTGTCAAATTATTTTTAAACATTATAATATAGCTTCATTTATCGTTTTGCAAACTATACCAAATATATGCGTAAAATGATAAAAATATAAAATAATTTGCATAATTTTAGTTGTACGTGATGTCGGCATAATGATACCTAATTCGGCGGTTGAAATTTTGGAAACTCATTTTCTTATAGACTGTAGTCGGCTGCATTATTTGTTACATGTTCGAGTGACTGTTTCGTTTTCTATGACCCATATCATCATAACGACCGTTTACGATTTGCTAGATGTATTCCGTGACAGTTACCTCCTTGCACCGAATCTTTATTCGTGTATATCTATATACATTTACAATTTACCCTATAACACAGTTTCTTATATCTCATAGGCCGCGTAACATGGCTTTTATTTCTCGTAAACGACTAAAACGTAAAAGAAGCACTTACAAAAAAGTCTCGTGTTCATTCGTTGTCAATAAAACTCGTCAACGACCATGGCGGCGTATATAAAAAAGAACAGTAATAATAAATGTCTTAAAATGTAGGAATTAATTGAATACTAGCTGTACTGCATATTAACGCTTACGGCATAGCATGTGGAATGAATTAAGTTGTATTCATGTCGTTTTCCTTTATTAAAACGTGGTGTATTTATTTTTGTGGCTGTAGGGTTTTACCTTTTTCAGAACGTTGTCGATAGAGACCGAGAGCAGTTGGAAGTTATAGTATACGAAGGCGGGCATAGGGTCCCAATAAGTTAATACCATTTCACGGTTTTCTAAAACCACGGTCAGCGTGTTTTTTAGAGACATTCTTGTAACCGCGTCATATATGAGTTTTGGTAGACAATATCTTTCGACTAATTCCATTTCAGGAGGTACGGCTTGGTGATGATGCGTATGGTGCGCGTTGCGGGGAGGGTATAGTATTTTCTCAAAATGACTAGTGAAATTTACATAGGATAGGGGCACGCCTATCTGACAGCCCATGGGGAACACGTTCCTCGAAGGTGATATGCAGACCTTAAACGACAGGTAGCCGTCAAACGCAAATGACAAGGTTGACAAAAAGTGCGTTACCCAGTCGTCGACCAGTTCGTTTCTCGTGGGTTTACCAGTTCTCGCACTGCACGTGACGTTTCCAATCATTTTGCCATTATGTACGGTGGTGCACGTCGCGTAATACGAACCCGGGCAGTTCTGCACCAATAGCCAGGGGCAGTCTTCGGAAACAGGGCCAGGAAGCGTTAGATTCTTTCGGGACTCTGGCAATTGAAGACAGTGCTTGATTTTACACCCGTAAAATCCAACATTGACGATGAAATGTTTATCGGCCCGGAATGACACGTTGTCGTACAGTTTGACTATATCTTCTTTGGAGTAAACTTTCAAGTGCTTGGGCACCGATAAGCCCTCGGCCTGGCACTTGTCAAACACCTCGGACAAATCGTTCAGGAACGATACACCTTCCAGACTGGGTGTGCAACATTTGCAACCCAATAGTTCCAAATGTGACTTGGCTACTGCGTCGTAATATGCTAGCACAGTTGTACCAGTGGGTACGTATAACCCGACGCGTTCCTTCTCGACGATCACTCTCAACGCGTCCACGTACTGTATACAGTTATCTTCGTTAGGTCTGGGCACGGTGTAGTAGCTATCGACGGCTACTGAAAACGACGCTAACTCCGCACAGCCTTCAACCTCGCACACGATCACCCTGATGCCAGCCGCGTAAAAATTTCTGGCCAGGTACAATGCTTGAATGGTGCTTCCGCCGTTTATCAGCACCGTCCGGTCGCCCTTGCTGTACTTCCTCATAAAGCACGCCCGGATAGCGAACTTCGAGAACACCAAAGGTATGCGCACGCACGCCCAAGTCAGTCGAATCCACAGAGCCGTCCAAATGAGCGGTATTCGCAGCAGTAACAAGTTGATGGGCGGCAGAAAAAAGATTGACTTCAGCAGCCGCCAGAAAAACGCGGGACACCATGCGACGGTGTCGACCGTCACATTTTGGGGCTGCGGCAAAAGTCGGCCGGGCGGTGGCGACGTTCGCCGGTCCAACAGGTAAAACGTGGACTTGGATCTTTTGAAGCTGTGCGACGGCGAAATGGCCGGCGACGAAGAACCGCTACCCGAGTCGACACTGCTCCGGTGGCGGTCGTCAGTAATAGGCGCTTGACGGACGTTGTCGGGCATCGCGACGGACATGCAAACGAGGACTGAGTCTAACGTTCAGTGTATGGAATGGTTGGTCAAAGTTCTGACCAACTGTTGTAATGAATTGTTATTATCGGTTTTAATGGATCGCTTACACTCGTAACCTTTGATTTGCAACAATATATACAGAGACTGTAATATAATATAATAATAGGCCACTGTCGATCTAAAAAAAAAACCTAACATATTCCGTTCTTAACTTAATAAGCCCAATCATCGCCAGCATTATGAATGAAGAAAAAACGCTATTACAATGAATTGCACTACATTACATTATTATTCTTTTGTGATAATCATTGTCGGACTGTTTCCAGTTGTCATACGCTTAAGACACTTCAACAACAATTTCATACAATTATTAATTATTTATATATAATAGTATTATTGTCTTAATAATAAAGGTCGAATAAATAAGGTTTGGCTTATGTTGCATTCGTTACTACCGTGTTTGATTATTTTGTTTAGACGTGATGTTAATCACGACGTTCCCATCGTGTACACTATAAGTATTGTTTTTTTAAGACAACCATGTGTAGAAAATATTATATAGTTATTTGATTGTCCGAGTTGTAACAACAATTGTAGTTTGAACTCTGTACAGGCCTTAATATATTTATCAGTTTAATTTTATTCATACTGTTTTTTATAGTGTATTTATTATAGATATTGCAATGGTTATAATAATAGTAAACCACAGTCATAACATTTAGTTATACAAAACTTAAATTAATTTACATAATTTAAATCATAATTTTTTTTTGATAAGTGTTGATTTTTTAGTTTTTACCTTGCGTTTGTTTGTTAATTTTGTTATTTTATACGTTTAAAACTAACTAATGAAAGTCAAAACTGAATGAAAAAATGTATTTAAAAGTCCCACCCCTATATACCTATATAGAATGTATAGTATATAAAAAACTTTGTTAAAGTTTTATGGAGGTTTGTTTATATTAATTAAATAATTAGTGGATGTATCCTTATTTACAACATCGATGAACAAATTAAAAATAATAAATTATCATAATGAGTCGTGGCCTCTCTGGCTTCCTACATAGCATAGTAAAGTAGCTAAATAATTCGAATAACCTTACATAATTGAAATTGGACAGTCCTATATAGTCGAAATTTTGTCTGGATTTTTAGCCTAATAAACCAAAATGGCTTTTACTCATAGAAAAAATTATTTAAATTAAAAATAATACCTTGAAGCTTATACCAATTAACCGGTAAATAAATTGACATAGTCGAAATTTATTAAAACCTCTTTTCTTGAATTTTGCCTGTACAAAACTCCTTAAAAATAGACCGCATGCAATGCCCTTAACGCTCTTTACACTGTCCCTTTGCCGATTTATTTTTTATAGTATGGTAGTCACGAACCGCTTACTGTGTCGACGATTCGCATATCGTGTTGACGATTTCCGTTTTGATTAATTTAGGAGGGTTAGTTGTCGCTATAAACACCAAAAACATCATTATTATTTAGTATGAGGGCGTCGAATGGCGTTCTAGTATCACAACCAAATAATAATTTTTCTAGTTAGATTAGTCAAGTGGAATGTGTGCTGATACGAAGTGCAAAAAAACGGGGACTCAACATTAACGAGACTAAAACAAAATACATGCGAATCGGTAGGAACAAAGGTCAGATGAGAAATGCAGCTGGACTACAGGTCGGAGGATATATGTTTGAGGAGGTAGATGATTTTAAATATTTAGGCACTAACTTAAGTAGCACAAACGACAACCACGAAGAAATAAAAAAACGCATTACATCGGGAAACAAATGATTTTACGCCCTCTCGGGGTTATTGGGGTCGAAGCTACTGTCAAAAAAATTAAAAGAACGACTTTACATAGTACTAGCTAGACCAGTGATAATGTATGCATGTGAGACATGGCCCACGACCCAAGGAGATGAGAATAGACTAGCTATCATGGAGAGGAAATTCCTTAGGAGGATTTACGGACCAAAAAGAAACGAAGACCAAACATACGAAATTAGGTCTAACAGAGAACTTCAGGAATTATTCGGAAAACCAGACATAATAGCGGAAATACGCCACAAGAGACTTAGTTGGCTTGGACATGTTCTAAGGGCTAAGTCAATATCAAATGATGTATTAAGCTGGATTCCTCAGGGAAGAAGGCCGATTGGAAGACCGAAACAGAGGTGGATGGACAAAAATAAAAAAGAACTAAATCAACTTGGAATAGACAATATTATTGAAGCAGCTCTGAACAGAGACAGATGGAAGGAGATTTGTTTTGCAGCGATGGGCCTTAATAGCCTTTAAAGCTGGAAGAAGAAGAAGAATATAAAATAAATAGGTTTTATACTTCTTAAGTCTAGAATCTAGACTATACTAACAATAGAAATAATTATCCATTGCATCCAATGCAACGCGCTGTAAACATTTACAACTTTTAACTTATAAACACTTATATTATTATACCTAATTAGTTCTACGTGAAACAATTTTATCTTACTATAAGCTTCAATTTGGGCAATAAATAATTTGGAGGGCGCCCATATTTTACAACGTCGTCGAACAAATGAAATTGTAAATAATATATTTACGCAATATATACTTATACAATTTAAATAAAAATGAAGTAATTTTAGAGAAGAGAGTAAATTAGAAAGACAAAGTAAAATGTAGAATTGATTATAGTTAAAAAAAAAAAAAATCAAAGCATAGAGAATTATGAAAGAAACAAGCTGTCCCGACCCGACGTTGCCCGGGATTTAGTTTGCCAGGGCTGAGTAAAATAATTACAAATAAAATAAAAAAGTCAGTACTCCAGGCTGTATATTGTAAAGCTTCAGCATACACCGTCTCGGCTTTTTTTGGATCTACATATGTACATTACATTATATTGATTATGTCCCCCTATTACTCAAGGGTCCCAGACCCAGATTCAGTTCCAATCGTAAAAAGCGTCCCCAGAATCGTGATACATAGAATCGGCCTGTTCCTTTAATCATCACCTATCATTCGCTCGAGTACCGTGGTTACCATGGTTACAAACCAAGTGTTTATTTTGGGTTAGCAACGAAAAATATTTCGTATTTAAAATACAAAATTCGTGTTTGAGGCCACCCTTATAGATGGAATTTTCAAAAAGTACTATGCCAGTAACCTTCGCGGGAGTGTACTCAACAACTTCCCAAAGTTTCATGGCGATCGGATGAATGGTGTACTAATGCATAAAGGACACACAGACAGACATACATTTATTTATATGTATGTATAGATATATAGATAGAGACCACAAAACTAGTGGATGATAGGCGAACTCGTGAACAAATATTTTTTAGCTTTATATCAAAGCTAAAAAATATATTGAGTAGAATCTGAATACTTCTAAAAAAAAAAATAGATCCCGGAATGCTGAGACTAGGTAATATACAAGCTTGGAACTTGTAAAATATGACTGCATTGCATTAAGAAATAAACAGATGATTTTTTCAAAGTTATCCACTTAATATCTTATAGGGTTTAATCAGATATTGAATTATTTTTCTGTAGTATTTTTATATAATGTGATTTAAATTTTTCACAAACTTTTATGTTTTTAATGCCCTCCCAAATTAGTTCATTTTTATATTGACTTTTGAAACTTAAATAGTATCGTACATATTTTATTAACTTTTTAAATTAAGACTAATTTACTGAACATTTAACTGCGTAATAACCAGTTTTGGATAATTATTCTTAAAGTTATTTAAGTTTAAAAATTAGGATGGGAGGAAGGGCCTAGTTTTAGAACGAAATTTTAAATACTTTTGTAGTTCTAGCTTTTATAAAAAAATTCAAAATACGCAACTTTGTACGATAAAACAATACACTATTACATTATGTACAGTTTGTATTGTCGACATTTTCTATTTTTTAAATGTAGGAGACCTTTTAAATTATTGTCTTCGTAGTTTTGTTTGATACCTATTTCTGATTCAAGCGTACTTAAAGTTACAACCAGTGGTTGGTTTACAATATTTTCAAGTATAACTTTTAAAACTGGTTGTCAACTGAGAACGGGTCACTGATAAAAAACAATTCTCATGATCGATATAAATGACAAAAAATGCATTATTGTAAAAGGCGTATTCCAAAAGAATAAATAAAAGCTAGAAATCTAGTTATTTTAACAATAAATCCAACTGGGATTTAGGTAGACGTTACACATTTAAGCCAGATTACACGTTGATTCTTTGCAATGAAATAAAATAATACACAATTGTTTTTGTTTATATTTGTAAGTTATATTTTCTCTCGATTCGTATAGGTAATTAAATGTTAATTAAGTAATGTTTTTTTTGTTTGTTTTAGACTATTTCAAAAATGAATGAAGGTGACTTAAGGTAATTTAACAAACAATGCCATTATTACAACAAAAAACTAAAATTAATAAAAAATGTCTACTAGTTATACTAAAGCTGCACTACCGTCTAATATTGGTTGTTTTCACATGGGCGTTATTTTTATTGTTATTATTTATACTTATTGTTGCACGCGTAATGCAATTTCTAATGCTTTATTTCGTAATCGCTTCCTGCTGTCAACTTTCAAAACTTTTGTGATTAATAATACGATACCCGTTGAAAAGCTAAAATCGTTTCACCCTTATTTTTTTAACGAGCAAAAGAAAAGCTAGTGCCAGTATGACTTTGCCAGTTATGAAATCACGTTTGTAGTCTTCAGTGCCACCCTTAATATATTTCAAACGCTCGTGCGCGCACAAACATCCATTATATAAATACCGTTACATCAAAGGATTTTATCTGTTCGTTTAATCGCCCTTGTTTATTATATCGTCATAATATTTTGCCTTAATCGCCCGCCCGCCCGAACCAAAAGAAAACAATCAATGACACGGGAAAACGTTATGATTTAATGTCCCGTCGAAATATGCATAAGTCATGCGATCCGTAACTCCGCCTATAGGGTTTACTGTCGTGTGTCATGGAATCGCAAGGGTCACGTGACGAGAGCGATTTGTCTCCGTATCTGTCGGCGAGATCACGGTTACCCCTTTGCCTACCCGAAGACGCCGCCGTGGAGATGGCACTGGCACCTGAATCCCCTGTAATCGAACAGCAGTCTCAAAAGACGCTCGTCGTCGAAGTGGTGTCTCTGAGGCCGATCGAAAAGTTCCGCAGGGCCGTTGCCAAAATGCCTAGGGTAAGTGTGCCCAGTTTGTTAAACTATTAGTTATTTTTTTATTTCCATCTGGTGGGGCACGCTTTAAAGTTAAAACGGTCAAACGAAAATTTAAACCGCCGAGTAATTACTATAAGTTTTTTACTGTTACCTCTGTTGATTTTAACTTTTTCGGTATGTAGAATTGTTTTCGTGATTAATCGGTTTAGAAAGTTTTCGCTATCTAGACTATAAACTTTCTGGCGGGGGCTAAGCGCGATTTCTTTTGCAAAAACTGCACCGCGGTGATAGACGCTTATTAGTACACACTTATCGCCGAATGCATAATATACAGTACATTTTTACAATACACACGTGTGTATATCTTTGTCTGTACTTTTTTATCTGCTAATAACGTTTGTTGGCCGTTCTTAATCAGTTCTCCAAAAAGGAAAGCTCGACGCCGTCAAAATCCAGAGGCGTCCCAAAGGCGATGGGCACCGACGGCGGTATAGTGCGATTGGACGTAGGTCGGGCGAGCTTGAGGTTGCCGTCGTCGAGTCGCGCAGCACCCAAGTCCGAACCGATGGACTTGGCGAGGGAGAACCAGGCTTTGCACGAGCGCCTGCGGGAAGAGTCGGCCCGGTACGATAGACGTTTAGATACGTACAAATTGGCTCAGCAAAGACAAGCCGTGCTCGTTAGCAGACTCCAGTCAAAGGTAAGTACAGTATACGATAGCGCGTCTCGGTTATGCTTTATTGACGCGGTTTCGTGCATTGTGCAGGTAATGCAGTACAGAGAAAGGTGTGCCGAGCTGGAGAGAGAAATGCGCAACAGCGTACCGGCCATCGACAATGTCAGGAGCTATCGCGATTCGGTAAGGGACTACCAGTCGATGGATTTGGACTCTGCTCTACGCGCTCTAGAGCAAGAAAGATCAAAGTAAATGCACTTGTCGGGGAACTAAAAAAATAGATCATTAAAATAATAAATAATTTATGTTCGTATAATCATTTATGTATTGTCGGGTATTTGCAGGTCTGAGAAAATCATGGAATTGAACTCTACGTTGAGGGAGCAATTAGACGACGCTCAAGCAAATAACGAAACTCTAACGGCGGATTTGCAGAAACTGACGAGCGACTGGGAAAAAATGAGGGATGAAATGAATGCTAAAGAAGACGAATGGAAAGAAGAAGAAAAAATGTTTAATGATTATTGTTCCCTAGAACACGGGCGAATGGCTAACCTCTGGCAGGATGTCGCTCAGGTCAAACGCATGTTTACCGATATGAAATCATCAACTCAACAGGATCTTAACAAAATTCGAGGTGAATTATCTCTAGCATCAAACGATATGGTTAACACTTGTAATGGACTTGTGAATGCCGTTAAACGGTCAACATTCGCCGAAGTAATGATTAATATTTTCCAACCTGCAAGGGTTTTATAAAAAATTAATTTTCGTTTTAGGAAAAACAATATGAGAAAGTTGTAAAGGAAAATACGACATTACAAAACAAATTAGAAAGGTTGCAAAACGACTACGACACTATAAGCTCGCAATTGCGTCAAAAAGAAATGCAACTCGAAGACCTCAAGACAAACTTTTCAGAAATCGTAAGTGTTGCGGTTATTATGATTATATTATAGTTTTTTATGGTGTTGCAATTATTTATATAGGAAGAAAAATATAATGACGCCAACAAGAATGAAGTCGACGCTAATCATTTACGCGTTGATATTGAGGTGTTAATGAACGGAATGCAAGAAATAGTCAGAGTCTTGCAACAAGATAAAGATATCCTTGGTGATTATATTAGACCTCCACCTCCGCCACATCTTCATCTTAGTTCTGGAATTATTAAAGCCGAACCAAAGATTAAACCAATTTCAGCAACCAGCAGTTTTGTCGATAGCACTCTATCGGCTGTCCAAACTATTATTTATAGGTATCAGACAAATATTCATGAGTTGCAAGTACAACTGTCATCATGCGTGGACAAAATGTCAGAAACAAAAAAACATTGTGAACAACTAGAAGTGTTAGAAAAAGACTTACAAGTCAAAATTGAAGATCTCAGTAAAGAACTAGATGAGTGTCGTTCAGTCAATACTAGATTAGGTCACGAACGTGATGCATTAGCTGAAACAATTGAAAGACTTCGAAACGAAGCTCAAGCATTACAACAAAACCGAATGCATGTTAGCACTGTGGTAATGTACTTATTAACTATTAATTAAGCTTAACCACAAGTCTAAACTATAATTTTAAAATTATAAATAATTTCTATTAAAGTATCAAAATTGTGTTTAATAATTTATCTTATTCTATATTTTAAAGGTTGAAAATATGAATTCAGATTATGATAAAGTACAAAAAACCAACACTAAACTTCAAAAATTAAATGATACATTAGAAGATGAAAAAATGTTCCAACAGGGAGAAATTGATAGACTATTAAAAGAAATTGACATAAGAATTTTGTCAGAAAATGAAAATCAAGATAGGTGTAGTTGCTTAAAAGAAGAGTTAATTAGTGTAAAAGAAGAATTAAATCAAGTGTATCTGGACAAAGACCTTTTGGAACAGCGGTGTCTCGAATTTGAACTGTTACAAGCAAAAATGGAAAAAATTAAAGGTTTTTATTTTAAAATTATAACATTTAAGAAGATGATTAAAAAATAAAATAATATAACATGTTTTTTAGGAGATCTTGAATCTGAACTGGAAAAAACTGCTTTGGATCGAACCGATTGTCAAGAATCATTAGCAAAGGCCGAATCACTTCTACTAGATGGGACAACAGAAAAAAAAACATTACAAAAAGAACAGGAAAAATTATTAGAAGATAAGAAAAAGCTTCAGGATCAAGTAGATGACTTGTCTGGGGATTTAGTAGCGCTAAGGAAAGAATTGTTGCAAATGGAGCAAGACAAACAGGACTTAGAAACAGAACGATCAATTTCTACAGAAAAATGGAAAACATTGTTGTTAGAAAAAGAAAAAGTAGTTATATAATTTATAAATAAATTGTTCTACTAGTTTACTTTTGAAATACATTGTTAAAAATCATAATATAAAAACATTTACAAATAAATAAGAAAAAGCTTATCAATATTGATTCTTATGCAACTGTTATTAGTTGGAAAATGAATTGGAAGACATATTAAAGGATAGATCACACTTAGAAGACCAATTGCTAAATGAGAAACATAAGAGAAAATCACTTAATGAAGAGCTGATAAGGTTGAATCAAAAACTTGACCATACAATGGATAATAATACTAGAATAAATAACCAATTTCAGAATGTTATCAAAGAAAACGAAGATAAACAGGTAACTCTGTTCATACACTTTTTCTAAACTCATATTTCTTAAAAATAACATAAACACTTACATAACATGCCGTGTAATATATTTGTATTTAATTGTTATTAAGATTGCACTTGATGGATGCTTAAAACAACTGGATAGTTTAGAAAGAAAGCTCTTTACGCTTAATGGAGAAAAAGAGAATCTCGAAGCCATGTTATTTGATGTTCAAAATAACTTAGAAATATCAGAAAATCGGTGCAAGCAAGTAGAACGAGAGAAGCAAGAACTATTAATAAAACAAGTATAGAATTAAATGGTTAAAACTAAAATAAATATAAATGTCTTTATAATATTATGATTTTAGGAATCAATGAGGGGTGAAATATATCGTTTGTGTAAGGATATTGAAAATTGTGAGCATGCAGCAAACAATACTAAAGCTGAACTTCTACTTCAGTCTAGGACTCTGGAAACAGAGTTCCAGCAGACTGTTGATGGGATGAAGAAACAGGCTGAAGACAATATTCAAAAATTGTCTAACGAGAAAGTAATTTACCATAATAATACAGCATATGATATTAAATTTAATAATCTCTGAATATTGCAGGAAGCTCTTAAAGTAAACTACGAAAGAAAAATGCAAGATGAATTAAATCGGCTAGGAAAAAACAAAGATAGTGAGATAGAAAAATTGAAACAAAAATTAGATGTACTGCAGAAGAATATTGATACAATAACACAGCAACACGATGAAGCACTATTAAGGGCTGAAAATGAAAAACAACAAACTCTGCTACTTGGTATCTACATTACATTTTAATTTATAATAATTTCTTAAATAAATAATACTTCCTGATTGTTAATATGTGTTTTGTGTTGTTTAGTTCACCGTGACCAAAAAGCAATTGTTAGTAAACTAGAATGTGTCAAGAAAGAGTTAGAAGGTGAAAAAGAAAGCTATGAACGTTTGTTGAGAGAAACTCGTGGCAAACTAGAAAATGAAAAAGGGATGGTAAACTCATTACGTGAACAGTTGGCGAAAATAAGGAATGAACTTAATGAGCTACGTATACAATCTGATAGCGATAAATGCCAGCTAATTGGTCAATTGGATGAAATCCAAGCAGATCGAGACAAACACATGCAAGAATGTATGGAAGTTAAATCTCAACTGGCCATAGCAGAAGATAAATTAGATAATTTACATTCCCATTTGAATGACACTAACAGAAAACTAAAAGAATGTAAGTGTTTGTTATATATTTTAATAGTTTTGTTTTGAGCTAATTTATGATTATTTTTTGTTTTATTATTAGCTGATTCTATAGCTGAACATATTCGAAAAGAATTAATGGAAACAAGAAGAAATTTAAATGAGACTAGCATTGAAAAAGAGAAATACCAATTATCCAACAGAGAGCTCCGAGAACATATTAAAAAGTCTGAAATGGATAAACGTGAACAAGGAAGAAGTTTAGAGGAAGCAATTCAAAAGATAACTTTATTAGATGACAAATGTAGTCAGATAGAAAGTGAACGCATACGTTTAAGTGCTGAATGTAAAGAAGCTTGCCGAAGACTCGAAGAAACGGAAAAAACTTGTAAAGCACTCCAGGAGGACCTACAGCGAGCAGCTATAACTGGTGAATCTCGTAGAAATGAACAAAAACAACTCCAAACGAAACTAGATGCAGAATCAGAAGAACGAGAAAGGGCTTGTGAGCTTGTGCAGCAATTAAGGAAAAAAGTATTGAGAAAAATAATATTAAAATATGGATTTTGTTTCTATAACTATTTTATGTTTTAGGTAAACGAACTAGAAGGAATTTTGGATGGATACGAACAAGAAGTTATGCGTTTACGTCATCGTGTAGATGAAGATGAATTACGCTGGAAGAGTCGTGAACAGGAATTAATTGACCGGCTTGAAGATGAAATTAACCATGAAAGGAAACTAGAAGACCAAAAACATAATCTGGAAGTTTGTTTGTCGGATCAGAATGCTCAGATCCAAGACCTAAAATGTAAATTAAGTGCAGCAGAAGGTCGATTACGATCATCTGATACTCAGTATGCTGATTTAGAGCGAAATAAACATGAGGTAGAAAATCGATTGGGCACTATATGGTCTACGCTTAAACGTGTGGTGGGTATGCAAGCAGATGGATCTGTAAGAATAAGAAAATGGAGTCCCAGTAGAGGTGAATTTGTGTGCATAATATTTATAATAATAATAATATCTATATTATGGTGTATTTATTTTTCAGTGTTGGATGGACCTTCTGAATCTATCCGTTCAGACGGTAAAATGGTTGATCCCGAAGTAATTAAAAAAGGTGTACGCAATTTAATGCAACAGGTGGCACAAGTAGATCGAGAAAAAGATAATTATAAGTCTCAAATAGCAAATATGAGTAGACAACTTGAAGAAATTGAAGATTTACGTAAAAAAACTGACAGCAAGCTTAACTCAACAATCCAATTATTAAGGAGACTTCAAGACGAAAAAGTTGAATTGGAATCAAAACTTGGACAAAAACAGGCTATAGTTTCTTCCCAAGTATTAATTGAGTTATTATTTAAAAAAATGCTAAACTAATTAATATTTATAATTTGTTTAGGCAGCAGAAATAAAAGATAAGGTAGATGAGTTAAAGAAAAACAAAGAATTGTTAAACAGCCAAGAAACCATTATGCATGCTGACAAAAACGAAAAAATTCAATTGAAAGAGCGTTTGGAGAAGCTTAAAGTTCATTTGAGCCAGTTAGAAGCAGAAAAAAGACATTTGCAAGACGAACTAACTCTTACTGAATCAAAAGCTACAAAATTAGAAATAATAAGAATAGGAATAGACGGGGATTTACAACGGCTACAAATGATGTTGCAGGAAAAAGATGGCATCATACAAGTAATAATAATTCTAATGTAACAATAATAATTATTATTTGTAGTGTACATAAATAAATTATTAATAATTTATCGCTAGAAACTCGAAGAAAAGTGCGAAAGCCATTCAAAAGCTACTGCTACACTCGAGGAAAGATGCGTTTCGTTAAGTGCTGCGATTGAGCGTCTGAATGCTTCATTAGCACAAGCTACTGCTAATGAATGTGATTTAAAAGCTCAAATCCAAGCACTCCAGAGGTCATTGCACGATGCTTCTATTAGCTCTGCATCCCACAGCGATAAGTACAAACAGGTGAGTTAAACATCTATCGTGTGAAATCGGTTATGGATTAGGTTTATTTGCAAACAATGTAGTTGTAACGAATTATACAGTTATTATATAACAGTAACTATTAGGTATCAATTAATTTAATTTACAAATGCTTCTAATTTTATTGTTTAGCTACAAAGAGCATTACAAGCATGTGAAAATGAAAAAAAAATCGCTTTAGAACGCCTGGAAATAGCTCAGCACAATTTAGCCGATTGTCGTCGTGATCAGCAATCGGTCAACGATTCTATCTTAAGACTGCAACTGGACTTAGAAAACAAGGAAGTACAAAAATCTCATTTAGAAGCTCAACTCAGAGCGTTAGGAAACAAATCATTGCCAAGACAATCAAACAAAGATCTATATGACGAGAGTTCTGATCTTAAATTCAAGCTTCAATCATTAAATGATAAAGTATGATTAATGAAAAATTATCATTTTAAGCGACAAAAAAATGTTTATTAATATTTTTTTCAGGTTCGTTTGCTCGAGTCAGAAAAACGAAGTCTGGAAAAAAAGGCGCTCTCTAGGAGCAAAAGTTTTGAAAGGGTGGATTATGATGGAAAATACAGTCATAGCGGTCGTTTTTATGACGAACACCGAGATTTAAAAAACAAATGTGATGAACTGGAAAGAAGGTTGTATGAAAAAGAACAAGAATTGAAAAATTTAAAAATGTCTGCTATGGACTACTGGTATGCTATCTATAAATTATATTTTATTAAACTATAATCGTTTATCTAAATCATTTTATTGTATCGTTCTAGTTCCAATATACCTGTAAAACATACAGATTTGGAGCGTTATCGTGCTGGACAGTTGCAAGCTGAGCGAATGTTAGAAGCGCGTGAGCAATCGCACAGACAACAAATACACAGATTGGAGAATCAAGTAATGATAATTTGATTAACAAAGTTTACGAGTTTTTCACAAATTTTATATTAGTGATTCATGAACAGAGGATGAAGAATGGCTGAGTGGGTAAGGCGGCAGTGTGTTAGTGCTCAACTGCTCACTGTTGCTGGTTTGACACTCGGTCACGGGCGCTCCATTTGCTCGGCGAGAAATCGTCTGGTAAAAAGGAGCCGCCATCTTCCTCATGGCCTGTTAAGCTACATGATGATGATGATACATGAACATTTTAGGTAGCAATGTTGAGGGATCAGTTGGCTGAAGAAACTAAAAGGCGTCAAGCGTACATTAACAAAACAGCCAAAGCTAGTCGTGAGGCTATGGCATTGCGACAAGCTCTTGACAAATCGTTAACTAAAATAGCTCAAGATCCTTCGCCCGACGCTACCTTATTGAAACACGAAGCACGTACACTGCACCATACAATTCCACTGCCTAAATAAAATATATTACTACTAATGACAAAATGTAGCGAGTCAATTTTGTGTGTAGTTTCTATTTATATTATAATTACAGAGCACGAGAAAATATTTTACTTGTTAATGGCGTTTTGTTTAATCAGTATTCTACCTAGTTGTTAAATAATATTTTATTACTGTACCCAAATATAGAGGACAAATTTTTTTTTTCACATTACTGTTGAAACTTTAGTACTGTTAACATATTATGTGTCCTTACATAGTCAATAATATAATTATTAATTATATATTTTATATATTTATTACTCGATTTTTGAAAACGAATCATTGCTATTTGCTACTGACAGGGATTTCCTGGTGGAAAGGTATATTTGAGAAACTGGCCATTTTCTATAAGCCAGTAATCGTTCATCAGATTTTTTGGTATCCGAGCACAAGATAAGGCTTCGCTACCGACACTCGCTACCTTGCTTGATGGGCTACCAGAGTTTTGATGATTTTTAAACGGTTCATAATAACATCGACGATAGTAAGGAATGAATGTTTTTTGTTTCAAATGCATTCTGGCCTCCCGTAAATTTTTTTGAACGGATTTTCTGACGGCGCGCTTAAACGAGGTGTTGACTATAGAATTCAATAAGTACTTCACGTAATTGCCGCCGTCCGGATCGTCCCAAAACTTGTTCCCTCCAGCGTACATTGATTTTACCTCGGCTACGTTCGTTACGGTCGACCGGAAATCTAGGGTATGCCTTTGTGTTTGGACATCAATTTGCGGTGTCTGCTGTTGTAAAGCTCTGATCGCACCATCATAGTCCGCGTTTAACTTATGAAAAATTCTGGATACCAAGGGCACGTTTGGTATAGATTTAATTAATGACGCGTCGGCTGAAATAACGTCAAACCAGTCGTACCTCATGGAAGTTAAGGCATTCGGTTCTTTCTCGGCGTCGTCCTCGCCGAACAACATTACCACTCGGCTGCTGTTTTCCTGGATCACCGAGTGTTTTTTTGATAGCACTTGCTGTTTAAATCGTTCGTATTGGTCTGTGGTGGGCACGCGATATCCGGACATGTTCCTCTTGACCACATAATATTCAACGTCCGAACCCATGTCCAATGGTTTTTTGGCGTAGTATTCGCAATCGTATTTTTTTAATGCGTTGTGGACCTTTACCGTTTGATACGAATCTTGGAAGTAGAACAGAAGGTCGTCGGATCGTTGTTCCCAATAAAAACTTTTTGGCTTTCCCACGGCCGGTATTATTACGACAGATTCGCTGGATATTTCAACTCGTGATTGCTTATCCAATCTAAGCGTACAAGCACCGCCGTCAGCCGCTTCAACTATCACACCACCAACTGCCAGGCTCACTCGCCTGGACCGCGGATCGCTTACCAAGATTTGGTATTTGCCATGACGGAACTTGTAGCTGATTACGTCCAGTAAAATCCAATCGTCATCTTGCATGATTTCTGCCATGTACGTGACGATTTCGGTACCATCCGCATATTTCACTGTTTGCTGAAGACCGCCGTCGGAGTACTCTACGCTCGAAGCGTTCTCTTCTCGAAGTTCCAACGACTTCTTTGTTGTCGAGGATGCATCCATGGAATGACGTCGCCTTACGAAAGTACCATTTGCCGAATATATCATTGTAGTACCGTCCACATATTCCACTGTGATCAGTTTGACGTGTTTGGCGTAATACAGGCGACGGCGAGCGACCATAACACCGTAGGTATTCGTTTCGTCGATGGGATAATTCAATCGTATGATGGGTGACGAAATGTCGTCCTGTGAAAATTCAATATCAACAGAAGTACCGTTCAAGCCGGTACATGTCATTGCGAGACAACCACTCTCGACAATACGGTTTACGTAGATTTGAGTAAGTTCTTCCATAGTAAACCTAAAATCGAGTATGTTGTTCATGACGTGGCTGACCATGGTAAAACTTGCGCATTTGTAGATAAACATTACGATTTCTTCATGAAACCTCCAATTCCTCTTCAACACAGTCAGCCCGTCGCCGTATCTAAAACATACTTCGACCGTGTGTTCCTTATAGCTGACGCACTCGTTCGCACTCATGTTGTAGTGATGCTGTGGCAGGCGTCTGCCGTGGACATAATCGTAATAGTCTTTCAAGTAAATAGGATCCGAATGAATGGTGATCTCGGTCGAACATTTTCGGGTCGGAGCGAATTTTTCAAAGTCGTAAAAAGCCACAAGCATGACGTCTTCTGGCTGAAAATAAACGTAACACACTTTTGAGTACCTTTCTGATGCCTTTTCTAATATCTGTGCCATAGTCAGACGTCCCAAAGGCTCTACGAAATTGGGACGCATCAAAACTGCATGGTTCGCCGAGACCACGACTGACGACAAGTCGTACATAACTTCTCCTCTGAACACGTCCAAGTTGGTCCGTAGTCGGTTTAGCGCCAAAACACATAACGTGAGGTTTACAGCACAACCTCCGATCTGCCGAGCAGTGATGTTAGATGGCCACAGCGTTTGGGCCCATTTGTTGCTTAACATTTTTACCGCGTCATCGAACAGGTCTCTGATAGCTGTGAGATCATGACGTTTTATTACCGATCCATAACGATTGCCGTAGGGAACGCATAAGGGATAACGCAACCGTTTAGGAATCAACATCGCACTCAAAGAATCCCCATAATCGTCTACATCATTGGTGTCATCGGGTCTGTCTTGTTCTGGCGTTTCTAGCGCTTTTATCATGGCAGCCAATACTACCGACACGTCAACGGCTTCTTCCGGACACAGCCGACTTCTTTGGTAGGTACGCCGGTAAACTTCGAAGAGTCTACTTTCATCTGTCTCTACTGCTGACGAAACGTAGATAGTTGTTACGGTTCTAGAGTACTTTTCGTAGTCCGATCGGACATGGAATAACTGTTCGAATACGGTGGCCATTTCGCGCAATACGTACTTCCTAGAAATGTCCACTATTTGGTCGGGATCGGGCGGTTCCAACCGTGCATTGTAATTGGACTTGTAGGTCATGAATACTGTGTGTTTAAACCTGTCAGCTATTTCCGAGCGTGTTGAACCCAGCTCTTTGTCCAGGCGCTGCCAGAAAGTCTGGATCTCGACATCTATAGCCGAACGTTTAGCTTTGGTCGCAGCCGTCACAAACTTATCTCGAAGTCGGCATACACCGCCGCAACTTAAACGGACAATAGCGTCCAATCGCAATGTATCTGTAATAGTGCACAACAAATCAAAGTCAAAAAAGCCTGTTAATACTACGCTCAGAGGCTTTTGGTATTCGTCTAAAGCGATGGAGATAAACTGTCGAATCAACCACACCACAGCGCCCGGAGGTACCAGGTTGTCGCTGCTGTCATAAGAACTTCTGGCCCGGTCATAAAACTGTCGGTATAGCCTGTTTGAATCATTGGAAATGACACTTACATCGGCCAGCATGTTGTGCAATCGGTCACGATCGATAAGCAGCACATCGTTTTGAACAACGTCGTCCAACGCATCTCGGTACACTTCCACATATCTGCCGTCATACCACGAGTTCTCCATTAACCAGACGATTTGGTAAGCAAGACTCTTATTAGACTCCTGGCTTCTATAGCTGCTTTTACTGTCGGCATTTCGAATATTTCTAAAGCTGTTTACCATTTGTGAACACCAATGAAAATCTGGTTTGCAACACAAAAATTAAAAAAAAAACTATAAATTGTACGTGTTTGAAACAAACATCAAATAGTTTAATAAACGTCTAAGCAACCACTGCTTAAAAAAGTCGTCGGTTCTATTAATTAGGTAACAATACGTATGAGGTTGATAAAAAACGAATTAGTAATTGAACTTTTCTGCCAATTAAAAAAACACCACCGTCAACAATCAACATCCACAACATTCATAAGTGAATGCACAAGCCAGAAGCTCAAAGAGGAGCACTATAGAACCACCCGTTAAAAAAAACAATATAAGCTTAAATAAAAGTGACTTTATAATTTCATTAGAATTATTAGTCAATTTGGTAGCTGGTATGGAAGGGAGGAGTATGCACTCCCATTTAATCAAGAAAATAAAATAATAATTTATACTTTTGTATTAATTTCACTGCCGAAAAAAAAACTAGACAAAATGTGATATAGTGGGCGTGGGACATAAGTAACAGGGCTTATGATTATGGACTATGCCTTTTCATGTAGGTACCCTACTCATAAATGAATGTCATACAAATTTTTTTTCATTTTTCCAGTACTAGCAGTCTTTATTGGTAAATATGCGTGATTAATGAAAGACGTTATAAATATATTTCCAAGGTGAATATAAGCATTTTTAGTCCAAATTCCAAACAAACTAGATTCCTTATCTAAATTACACAGGTACAAAATCTTAAATACATTTTCAGTAAAAAATAAAAGTAGATACAAGATCAAATTTTACATGTTTAAAATGAATTAGTTATTATTTGTATTTAAAATATGAATATTTTCTACTGAAAACTCATAAAGCTTTTCTAGTATCGCAATCTGCCAAAATATATATTTTGTATATTCCATTTTTAATTTATTATATTCAATTGTAGTTTGATTGATTTTAATATTCAAAATTTAATTGTTTTTGCTGAACGCTACTAAAATCCACATCATGGGTCATTCCCTATGATTTTAGATACCGACTGTAAAATACGTCTTTATTGGTTTTGAATACAGTGTTATTGTTCGTCACAATATACAACTATAATAGTCCCTTTTTGCGACTACAATAAGGCCTAAGCAATTGTCATTACTTATTAGCCAACAGCTATTTTTTAAATTACTATTATGTTTTTTTCACCGATAAACAGAATATCATTAAATCAACGACCACGCACACCACACGTTTTATGCAATTCTGCAGTTAAAAAAATAATGCGCTTAGTTTACCAAACAGTAAGAACTGCTTATTACTCATTTTTGTGGAAAAAAGTCGTCCTTGTTTTTATTTTAAGATAACGCAGAATCACTTAGATTTAGATACATTGAATTTATTACACACTATAGTAATAAAATAAATAACTGTGTGGTGTTTGAGCAGAAGGAGAAAGATCAAAATTACGTTTTTCGGTTCTTTGTGATAAGAAAAGT